TAGAGGTGCTTGTATGGTCGCTGCATGAGGTAAGAAACGTCGATAAATTTGAGCATAGCAAGAAATCTTCTTAAGTCCTTCACTGTAAATGGTTCGGGCATATCGCGGATAGCGGTGACTCTATCTGGAAGGGGTCGAACGCCGTCAGCGGAAATTTCATGACCAAGAAAGGATACTCTTGGTTGGCCAAAAACGCATTTGAAAGGATTAAGACTGACACCGTACCTTTGAAAACGTTCAAAAACTGTTCTCAAATGTGATAGGTGTTCTTGCTCTGAAGAGGAGGCGATTAAGACGTCATCAAAATATGGTACACAAAAGTCAAGGCCGATTAACACCTGATTCATGAAGGGTTGGAACGTTTGAGCAGCATTGCATAAGCCGAAAGTCATAACTGGAAACTCAAATAGTCCAAAAGGCGTAATAACCGCAGTTTTTGGAATATCAGCAGGGTTAACGGGCGCTTGGTGATACGCCCGCTTAAGCTCAAGGCTTGTAAAAATAGCTTTTCCTTCTAAAACTTGCATACAGTCTTGAATGTGCAGGACTGAGTAACGATCAGGAATTGTAGCTGCATTTAACCGGCGATAATCGCCACACGGGCACCAGTTACCATTCCGTTTTCCGAACTAGATGGAGCGGACTGGCCCATGAACTTTTTGAAGGACGGCAAATTCCCTGTTCCATCATGTATTGAAATTCCTCTTTGGCGGCTTTAAGCTTGTCCGGAGGTAAGCGTCTTGGTTTAGAGGCAATTGGAGGTCCGGTAGTTTCAATATAATGTAGTACATCGTGCTTGGGTTCAGAAATACCCATAACTGGGCGCGTGATTGTAGGGAATTCTCTGAGAAGTTGATGCCATGGGGAGTTACCCGAAATCAGTTTAATGCTCAAATCTTGGACTATTGCGAATTACTCCAGGATAAGTTAAGTTGGTTGTGGAATCTACCAAACGGCGATTCTTAAGATCGACAAGCAAAGAAAATTTTTGTAAAAAGTCAGCGCCAATAATAGGACTTGAAACAGTAGCAATAATGAATGGCCATTGGAAGTTGCGGCGCAATCCTAAATCAACAGATATCAGGCGTTCACCAAAAGTTTGAATAGGAGTTCCATTTGCTGCATAAAGTTGTAACTTGTTAAGGCGCTTTTTTTCGTGAAAATGTGGTGGAAGGACAGCTACATCAGTCCCGGTGTCTACAAGAAACTTTAAGCCCGAATTCTTATCGATGACGAAAAGGCGTGCAACATTCCGGGCGCTGTCGTTCACGACCTCGAGCGACGGCCCTTCTCGTTTCCCTTGTCGTTATAACGACACGGTGGGCGGCATTTGTTTGCCTTATTTCCAAATTTGTAGTGGTAAAAACAAATACCCGGAGGAGAGTTTTCATAACGTTTCCTCAGTGGGCTACGACGTGTATTTCGACTACGTGATGTGGAGCGGTTGCATTGAAAAGGTTCAGCTTGAATTGCTACTAAGTGAGCAACCTGTTTGGACAAATCATCAATTTGTGCCTGTTACGCCACAATACCTGGACCAGGAGCCTGCACTGCGTGTATTTGAGCTGGATGGCCAGCTCGTGAATTTTATCAGCGATTTCGGGAAGATTTTAAGTGGCTCGCTACTGGCCGCTAAAATGGCTTGCATGTTAGATGGGAGTCTATTCATCCATAATGTTTTAAGAATGTTATCCGCTAGGTTACCGGCGGCTAAGTCTGACATTTTAGACAGCAATTGAGAAGGCCTCATATCACCAACTCTAAATCTTGCAACAGCTGCTTGATTTTTAACTGTCTCGGATTCTTCATAAACAGATTTTTTTTAAAGATTTGTATTTGTCCGTCGTCGGTGGATTCAAAATTATTTCAAGAGCTGATTGTAGTACTTCTGATTCTAACGCGGCGATCGCTGTATAAAATTTAGTTTTGTCGGCAGTAATATGACTCAGTTTAAACTGCGCATCCAACTGAATAAAACATAACGATGCGTCTCGGCGACGAAAAGGCGGTGGCTTAATTGCCACTCGCGCCAATTGTGAAGCAGCATCGTTGTCAACCATTTTAGATCACTCAAGTAGGCACAATAATATATATAGAATATGCACAATAATAATATGTATAGAATAAGTGCAAAATAATATGTATAGAATATGCACAATAATAATATGTATAGAATATGTGCAATGATAATATGGATAGAAAAATAATCAATATGTATATATAGTGACACAGTTTCTTGGTACTTGAAATCAGAGAAATTGACAGCTCAAATGCAGCAGACGATAGATACTACATCCGCTAAAATTGTGAAGAAATATGTTGGATTGCGGCACAACGCTTGAAATCAGAGGTGAAATCTCTTACTTGCAACTCATCACACTGCAGAACTTATTGTTGCTCAGAATTTTGACATATAAACTCCATATTCGTGCAACACTGAAGGTTGCTATTCGTAATAAATACGGGTTACCAATTATGGTAGTACAATTTTTATTATGGTAGTACAATAATTGAGATGGATCGTTAATAATAATAACAATAGAATAGAATAAAAAATTATTTTGTTTTTGGTTGCTATGGGTTACCAGACTGGCGGAGTTGAGTTGTAGGAGGCAAGTCGCCACAGATACCTATTACTGTAATTTGTAATGGCAGTTACCTTCCTTATCTTATAATGGCAGTTATAACATTAGTCGTAATTTGTCATCAGTTTTTCCGGTCTTTGTCTTTTATCATTGAGAATACTTAATAGAGGGACTTCTTTCCATATTTTTTTTAATCGCTGATCATTATCATTATCATTATAAGGGCACAGCCCGATCCTCCTATGATCAAAAATCGATCTGGATGTTCATGAAACTTTGAATAGCATTTTTACGATAACTCATACATTTTTCCCGACTGAATTTTAACTACATTCATATTAATTTGTACATAGCGGAAGCATCTTCTCATGTAGACAGCTTTAAAGGCATGGTACAGAAGCAGGAATGCATAAAATGAAGAACTCTTAGGACAAATAGCACAAAAATACGCATCTAATTTTTAAAAATACAGTACTGTCAGAATCCGAAGTTTAGCCACTGTGCGAAGTAATCGGCGAAATCTTGCTTACATGGGTAACTCATGAAATCAAAGCTCGAAGCACAAGATCGAAGTGATGGTCAAAATTAAAGAGCAATCCTAAAATGGATGTTAATTGTACAATGACTGATTAAAATTCCATTAAGTGTAATTATGTACATAAATTAACATTAACATAACATTTGGCTGAATACAAAAATCTTATTGCTGCCTAGATATTTGCACAGGAATATACAAATAAGATAAACTCAAGAAAACATAAAAATTAAAAAAAATTAAAAATATATTCGATCTCGTGCGCATGTCTTGATTAAAGATAAAATGGAAACTTGAAGGAGAACGGCTGTTGTTAGTCATGTTTGAAAGAACCATTTAAATCAAAGCTAGAAGTGGCTAGTGAACGGAGAATCGAGACGGATTAAATTTAGTGTTTCATCTCCAGAGAGCTGAATATTCTTTAAAGTTTATTTTAAAAAATCTTGATTCGCTTTCTAAGCACAGAAAAATAAAGTTGTCTTGCTAGTCCAGATCGTCTGAGAGTAACTGCAGCATCTGAAGACAGTTATTTACCATTGCTAGTTAGCCTTTGGCCACACTGACTAGCAAGACAAATAATTATTGTTATGTTTAAAAAGTAATTTCCAGATTCTTGAAGTTTGCTGTGATGAAAATTCAACTGTCTACAAAAGGCAAACTTTGTTTGACATACATCAAATCTAGCAACCAGTCGATATATCTGGCCTTAATCTAAATGCTGTCTTTAGACATGATTAAAAGCATTTGACCACTTTCAAGTTTAAAACTTCGCGTTTAACCATGACAAGTGCTTGTTATCGAATTTGATGTTTCGCTCACGTTCGCCTTATTTCCGTATTCTAATCACATATGCGTGCACAGCAGCAGACATTTTTATTCAGTAGTTTATAATTATAAAAAATAATTGAACTTAGAAAACTTTAAATCAGTTAGCATCATTTTTATAATTGTTCTTTAATTTTTGAAATGAATGCGCTGTAAATTGCAATATTTTAGGCTTTAGATTGTCAGATATACAGCCGGTTTAGATGGTCAGTTTATAGAGCCAGTTACTTGCGGTCATACCTAGAACTTATCGGCCAGAGCTGGAAGCACTGATAAATTATATGCTTAGGGCTACGTTCATTTTCCCGAAAGCCAGAAGTTGCCGGTTATTTCATAAACGGCATAGAGCTCGGACTTTGACCTTAACATACAATTAAAATTATTTTCTTTGTTCCCATTGCTACTCCAAGGTCTTAAGAACTTAATATAACTTTTATGAATTTGGTGTCTTTGATTTTTTACCTTGGGTAAAATGATGAAAATGTAAAATACGGAAGCTAATGGGGAAGGAAGATTGTAAAACCTAAACTGTATTTTTGTTGAAATCATAATTCAAAATATGTTGCATTTCAGCCGGAACAAACGGATGACATGAATTCAAAAGAGAAATATTGCTTTCCGAAGACACATTTCCTTTAATGTCCTAAAAACTGAAGTATAGTAGGCGCGATATTCATAAGCTAATTTCGATGCCTGAAAAGATTGTAACAAGAGCTATAGGAAGTGATCATAACAGCGCGTACAGAAATACATGAAATTTATTTTATAAAGCAATTGTAATTTTTTTCCCTCTTATCTTTTAATTTGACACAGTATAATCTTATCTACTTCCAATGCGGTGTTACTTCCGTGATTATTTCAGATCAGTTCTTTAAAATGTAATTTTTTTTTCTACCGGCAGTTTATCTTTCATAAATATTAATTTGAGATAGAATTCAGTCTAAACATTAAGAAATCTTCTTCAGAGATTTCCTATCTTTCTCTTGTGAAATACGATATGAATTAGATAACAACTAAGGTATAAATCGAGTATCATCATCTCCAGTAACTTCATCCGCAGCTGACAGGAAGCAGGTAATTATCATTTTTTTTATATTATTCTAAGTTTGTTCTTTGTTTTAAACCAAATATCTTCAAAGTACAGCTACTGAATTATTGAAAACATTGCTTCATTTCTAATTTTTTTCACAGAAATTATAAATAGTTGAACGAAAATTTGCTTATGCAATAAAAAGGATTTTTGCAAATGTGTAAAAAAGGAAGTAAATCTTTGTGCGAGGTTTGGGCTAAATATCAAACAGAAGCTGTAGTTAAATATCAAGCATTTTTTCGTAAACTGTATCCTTTCTGTTAATAATACCTTTTTATAGGAAATGCGTAGAAAGAACATAATATTGTTCATAAAAATGACGAATAAACTTAATAGCTTTTATATTTTGTAATTCGCGTGTTTCTTTACTTGGAATTCCAGAGCCATAGACCTGTAATTAGGAATTACTTTATATCACGAATAAACTTAATAGCTTTTATATTTTGTAATTCGCGTGTTTCTTTACTTGGAATTCCAGAGCCATAGACCTGTAATTAGGAATTACTTTATATCCCGAATAAACTTAATAGCTTTTATATTTTGTAATTCGCGTGTTTCTTTACTTGGAATTCCAGAGCCATAGACCTGTAATTAGGAATTACTTTATATCCCGAATAAACTTAATAGCTTTTATATTTTGTAATTCGCGTGTTTCTTTACTTGGAATTCCAGAGCCATAGACCTGTAATTAGGAATTACTTTATATCAGCCAAAAGTACTCTAATGCCAAATGATATTGAAAAGAAAAACACTAAAAGAAGTGCTTCATGGAAAAAAAATACGATCGGGTGAATTAGTAAACTAATTAGCAACCCAAGCAGTATAAATTATTTCACTTAGTTCTGAAATGGAGACAACATATTAATTTTCAACTTAGCAAAGAGAGCAGTTTGCTAATAATATTTTGACTTTAATTAAGGACTAAAATTAAGGATGATTACAAAGTTTTACAATGAATTGACAAAAACTGTTTAAAGGCACTTCTCTCAGAAATAAATTGGTAAAATTCTGGAGGCCAGTTAATATTAAAATTTTTCAGTCCCGGTTTCAGCACTTTTCTTTCGCTCTCATATTTAGGACATAGAGGAAGCACATGTTCAACATTCTCCTCGCCGCCGAGGCTACAGTCACAAATTATGAACGTGTTTAAAATGAGTAAAACTTAAAAGATAGCGAAAATTTTCTTACAAGACATGTTTCCATACATATTATATAAAATAGCGAAGCTTTAGTTTTCTCAAATTTGCTAGAGATAATTTTATAAATAACAAAGTATCTGCTAATCCAAACATTGCTAAAATAAAAGTCCGATTTCCTGAATGTAATAACCCTAAGGAATGGAAAAAATTTCATATTATAGAAACGTTTAAATCTTTACATCTTTTTTAAATATGTATCTTTTCTTTTTTAAATGTATGAGAAATAATAATTCTGAATATTTAAATGAGGGATAGTATTTGTTCATGAAACACAACTCAAAATCTTTTGTTAGAGCTAATTGCATAAAACAGAGGAATATCTTCACTTTTGCAACCTTAGAATCTCTTTTAATATAATGTGATATCGTTATTGGAAAATAATTATGCAATGATATATGTTCGCATCTCAAAACTCTCAGGTTATAATTTGGAACATATGTTACAAGTAGTAAATGAAGCCCACCACTGGCCGAACGGTAAAAATCTCTAAACAATGGTATTTCGGTCCGAGGTTCGAATCACAGCGGGCGGCCTGGCTACATGGACGTTTTCGTGATTTTCCCCGTGTGTAATACACTGACTACCAATAAGTATTTGGACACCTATGCAAATGACGATATCTGCGGTCCTAAGGTACGTCACGGACTCCGCCGGTATATATCGTGTAGGAAACAGCATCGGCTTTAGTCGCATGCAAGATGCCTCACAGTTCGGAACTCTCTGGTTTCGAGAAAGGTATAATTATCGGGTATCACAAATGTGACCGATCATTAAAGGACATATCTAGCGATCTGAAGTACCCAAAATTGACAGTGGCCTATGTGATTAAGAAGTGGAAGGTGAGCGGTGATTGTCGGAATGTGCCGCGAGTCGGCAGACCAACGAAACTGGGAGACAGAGACCGACGAGTGCTGTCCAGAGAAATTCGGAAGAACCGCATCCAACCGATGGTCCTCATCCGCGAGGAGTTTCAACAGGCATCCAGGAAAATTGTTTCAATAAATACCATCCGTAAGAAAGCACATCTGATTGGTTTTCATGGTCGTGCTGCTGCCCATAAGCCTTTGATTACAAAGTCCAATGTGATGCAAAGCACATCGAAATTGGACCGTAGATCAGTGGAAACGGGTTCTTTGGAGTAACGAAACAAGGTTCACCCTTTACCGTTCGGATGGCAAGGTCTGGGTCTGGCGTCTACCTGGAGAACGTCTTCTGCCAGAATGCATTGTGCCAACAGTCAAGTTCGGCGGAGTTGGAATTATGGTCTAGGGGTGTTTCTCCTGGTATGGGCTGAGTCCCTTGTTCCCCATTCATAGTAAGCTCAACTCCGATGTCTACTGCACTATTTTGGATGACAATGTGCTTCCTACGTTGCGGCAGTTTTAGGGGTTGGACCCCTGTTACTTTCAGGACGTCAATGCCAGTTGTCATGTTTCGACGTTAACCAAGGCTTGGTATGGTGCCAATGGAGTTCATCGAATGTACTGGCCTGCCTAGAATCCAGACCTGAACTCTATCGAAAACTTCTGGGACGAGTTGCATCGCCGAATTCAGGGGTGCACTACCCGTGAAAAATCGGTGAAGGAACTTCTATGTCTTCTCCAAGCCGAGTGGAAGAAAATACCACTAGCTGTCATACAAAGACTTGTGGAAAGTATGGCCCGGAGGGTCCACGCTGTAATTACCTCTCGTGGAGGCTTTACCAACTATTGATTTTTGAATAAAGTTAGTTTTTCTTTTCTATCACAGGTGTCCAAATACTTATTGGTAGTCAGTGTATGTATATGAGCCAGTTTCCCTTAGAAAGTCCTCCACGAAGGCATCCCTTCCCTTAGGCAGACAGCCTTCGAATGCTCTGCCGTAATCAAATAAACCAAACCAACAAGTGGTAAATGTAACGAATTTTCATGGGTTCGTTATCCTTCTCACTCTGAGATTGAAAATAATAAAACTATCATTGAATGAAAGAGAACAATTAATTGAACTGCCAAATGACACTGGATTTAAAACGAGATTCCATGCATGCAGAAGGTACGGTTAGTTTCTGGACTTCATTACCAATGAAAACGGAATATAGCGAAATGTGCATTAATGCTTTACATATTATGATTTAGTTTGCTTTTACGTATTTGTGTGATTAAGAACTCAAGTAAAAACAAAGTACCAAAATCGACTCATGTATGTGCCGATCTTGAACTTTTAAGCTTTCCAACATAGATGCAAATAGAGAACAACTGTGCGAAAATCGACTAATCAGTCCAGCTAATTAATATCAGAATAAATATATATTTAATTTTTTGTTAATAAGATAAAGGTTATCCAATCTATAATAGTCTTGAATTATTAAAAGCGAATATAAATTTTCTTCTATAAACTTTATACCAGTAATTAAATTAGTTTTAATTAACTGTTTTTTTAATATAAGTATATTGGTAGTGACATATTCTAAAAGAATTATTTTTGAAGCAGATAACAGTAAAGTGGTCCATAGAAAATTCTAATTTATTAAAATGGTCATCATTTGGAAAAAAAAAAAAAAAAAACTTTAAAAATACTACTTTAGACGACTGAACTGCAGCGTACCAGATACCTTACCTCACTTGCAAGGATCCGATAAGAACACTTTTAAACTAGCGGCGTACAATTTCAAATTAATAAATAGTTTGTTAAATTCTATGAAATCAAGATGTGAGGTGTGCTTTACTTTTAGAAGTGATCACACGGCATATGCATTAAAGAAAGATTTATTTTAAAACAGAAAGTTCACTTTTCATCATTTTAAAGCATTACTTTGATATTAATCAATTGGCAAATATGATAATTTGTAAAAACTGTTTTAAAGTATTTTTCAGTAACAGTTTAAGTTTTATTTCTTTCAATATTCTTAAGTTTTGAAGAGCAGTTTTGAAGAGTCATTATTAATGCATCAGTACTACTGCCAGTCTTTTCAGATTTCCTTTTCTAGATATTTCCTGTTATAACAAGTGGATTTCTCCATATCTCTGGAAACCCACGGTAAGGATACTGGATTAAAAATCATCGTCCATATCGTTTCGAGAATGATCAGTTACAGCATGGTCCAATGTAAACGCAAAGGCCCATGTTTAAATTGTAATTTGCTGTTGCATGTTCAGCAGCATCTTAACTAGTAATACAAAAAGCTGAACTGTAAGTCACATTTCCCTATTGAAAAATACAAACACGAGCATCATAAGTGTCGCATTGCAATTTCAGCATATAAATTATTTTGGAATCAAAGCGGCGCAGGACCCTCAGCTGCGAGGAATTTTAGATCCGTCATGAAGAAAGGTATTTAAACATCATTTATTAATTGAGTTTGTATAATTACTTATTTTAGTCTGCCTTTTCATAAACTTACATTCATTAAGATGATATTACATTATTAAAGAAAGCAAAATATCTTAAATTATAAGCTAATATATGCCAAGTAGCAAAACTTCTGATGACCGGATAAAGCCGGACATAACGCTGAGGGTTAAGAGCCGCTTATTTTCAAATATTTGTGAAGACATGGACTTTGAGCACAGAAATGTATTATTACATGTAGAAATAAAGATGGATTTGAAGATCGTAAAGTTTAAGAAGCTTATTGTTTTTAAAAGAAAAAAAAGTTACATTTTTAACAAGAAAAAAACTTGATCTCCTTACTCTTTTCAAAATGACATATCGCTATGTAATCTGTGTCGAGCAGCACATCTTTGATAGCGATGTTTGTGCTACTTGGCAGAGCTTTGATACTTTACGTCTAGCTGCAAGCACTGGCAGTTATTTTTGACAAACTAAAGGATCTAAACTTTATTTGTTCAAGAAAGCAACAGCTATATATTGCTTCGAATGGCAAAGCTGAAGGTTTTATTGAAAAGATCAAATTTGGAAGAAAAGGGTGGAAAATGATTCATTCGAAATGTTTTCGATTGTCGAAAAAATTATTCTAGATCACTAAAATCTCTAGAAACACAATTTTACAAATACTTTATATCGAATTTTGATTTCAAACAATTTTCTTGTTTTCAAAAATCGTTTTTGATTGATATTAAATCACCTGCCATATGAAGTCCAACAGGAATTTGTTGAACTATCGAGTGACTTTAGCTTACAATTTCATTTTTCACAAAAAATTCTTCACTGAAGGAATCAGGGCTAAACTGAATCGCACCGTTTACTGATGTGAAACGACGTTTTCCCTTTTAACGCTTTTAATTCCAAATATCATTTAAAGCTAAAAAATGTTGAAAATGCTTTATGCCCAGCAGTATTACATATTGCACCAAGATTTAACTTGTTATGCAGCAAAAAAGAAGCTTATCCGTCTCATTAAAACGTTCTTTCTTTCTCTGATTTTTGTATTCTCGAAACAGATGATAAAACTAGCTTTTTCCGTTATATGTATACTGTTTAGAAAAGAAATAAAAAATATTTAATTTTTATGCCTTTATTTTATATCTAATACCTGGGATCGTGCAAAATTTGCGATGAGAAAAACGGGTCATGAATGAAAAATTTAATAAGCGGTGCTTTATAGTATGTAGCAAAACATTTCATTTACTTAGATATGTATTCTTATTTCTGACTGACCCTTTACACATATAATAATAATACAGAATAAAATCATATGATCATCGTATACTTGAGAAAGATTAGAATAACTTTTTAATATATTATCCATCCAACAAATTTAAAAGAACTGTTAACCGATTAAGCATTTCGCATAATTATTTAAATATGAAAGAAATAACTTACAAATATTATTTTTTGTATTAAATATGTAAATCTTTTTTATCAATATTTTAGAAAATGTCCCTGAAGGAGATTTGCTTGGTGTTACTTTTATCCGTCGCTTTGGTGGCTGCAGCAAGCAGAGGTACGTTTTCAAGAAGACATTATTTGATAAATAAAATAAGCTTCTATCTTAAAAAAAAATAAATATTAGAAATTGATTTAAGGGGGTGGAACCCAAAAATCTTAAAAAAATGGGGATTTCGCATTTTTGCATTTCCAAATTTTCTACACTTTTAGCTTTCTATAAATACCATTCTTAAATCTCTATGTAAATTAGAATTGTAAAAAAATCTAGTTTTAATTTGTCATCGAATGCTTTGATAAATGAGAATTTTTACATAAAAATTTGTTTTTCTCCCAACGTGATGTTTTTATATTTGATGTATCTTTTCTCAGGAACTACTGCAAGTAATGGGAAAGTAATCTAAATGAGAACAGAGGATATTACAGTTTCAAGGACATACTGAATTTTTCGTTTCCCATTTTATATTATTTCATCTACATGAAGGTGACATTTCCTAATAATCCAATTAATGCAGTTCTGAAAGTTTTCCCTGTTTCTCTTTCGTTATCTTTTAATGAACTTTTCAATTTCTGATCCTTTTACTTCTGTTTGATACGGAAACCAATAAATAATCCATAATTGTTTCTACAGTGATTCATTGAATTTCGAATGGCTGTCTCAAGTCTGTAAAACTAACCGTTATGTCTATCGAAAATTGTTTCATCAGTTCTAAATATGCAGGGGTGGAGGAAATATTTATGTAACAAATGGTTCTCCTAGCCCTTTGTTTAACGACGAACGGCGAAGTTAGTCTTTCCTGTAATGATTTCTTCTGTTCTGACCACCCCATTCGCAAAAGTATAACAAAATATAGAATAGCTCTGTTGTACTCCCATTAAAATAGTGCTATTTTAAAAATCACAACAAAAGAGCGCCTTTTTATTTTCTTGTACTATATATTTCTAAGAAGATTTTCCATTAAGTGTACAGATTTCTTTAGTTAGGTTTTAATATACGACTGGAACGGAAGGAGTAGGTCTTTACTATTGTAGTGCTATATACGAGCGAATTATTATGAAAAAGCACGCTGTCAAAGAGACTATTGATGAATCTGTGAACAAATGCTTTCCTTCTGATTGTATGGGATGCCTAGTTGCCGTAATGCCACTCTTATTATTACAGAAAATGATATCATCCGTTTCAGAAAATAATTTGCTTTCTTATTTTCTGCAAGGTGCTTTTGCTGTTTCAACCTGCAGACTGATATTTTTTTTAATTGGATAATTCTAGATCTCATACGATTATTATATAGTATTTCTTATACTATTTTGTGCAGTTATTTGGATAACGTTTGATTATGACAGTGTTGACATTCTTTTGTTTTTGATTCATCTTGATTACATATTTCCAGGTTATGGCAAAGCACTCAAGGGCTATGTGCCTACCCGAAGGATGCCTTTGTAGAGGATTTAGGGAAGATGGCAGGTATTCACATTATACACGGGAAAGCCCTCAAAAATCATCCGCGCATGCAACCGTTCGCCTGGGTTCGGTTCACAGTATTCACAGGTCTTAACCATTCGGTTACTATGGGGCAAAGTCATATTTCAAAACATAAGGGATGAGGGAGCGGTTCTGTATTAAGACACGTGCTTTCAAAACTTGCATATCATTCAAAATGATAAGAACACCACCGACAATCATGTTTGTTGAGTTTTAACGTAAAAAAGCAAAACAAGGTGTAATTATACATAAATATGAACGGAAATGCAAATGTAAGGTATTTTCTCCCTCCTAGCCATGTATCTTTGTGGTTCAATTTGAAAGCAAGTCTGACTTGCGATCGGAAGGTCAGGAGTTCGAATCCTGGTAAAGGCATTGCACATTCTTTTCGTCTCCTGCTCCGCAATAAAATGCCTAATAGTCACCATAGAGTACAGTTGCAGAGTACTCCGCTGACATTCAGTCTATTCATAATGGCTTGGCAAAAGTGCTTCCTAAACTATTTTTAATTCGACGAAGCGGTCGTTTCAAATAAAATGTAATACTTATTCAGGCAGCTCATCCTTATTCAATTAGCTGCTATTATTTATTTTATTAAATTTTATGAATCTCACCATTCTGCAAGTGGAAAAATATAAGAAATTGGAATAAAAAGAAAGAAAGGAACAGTTTAAATCCCACAAATACGGCAGTTTTGAGTTTGTTCATTGTTTTAACTTATTTCTGTTTGTGACTTTCAAATGAGAATCTCTTTCGCATTTTCAAGATCGTGTAGCATTTCATGATCGTTTGATACGTAAAACTATCTACTAATGCCTGCTTTACCGAAAACTTCCTAAAATTTCTAAATTAATATACCTTTTACGTAAAATATCTTCAACATAACACGTGACGCCATTGGATGTGTTAGTTTCTCGCAAATTCACTTCAAAAATTCAAGGTTGTCTTATTTGTGAAGTCTTATATTTGGATTAATAATGTAATTTGGTTTTCTTAATTCATAAGTAATCTTTCTTTCATTCAACAGACCGGAACCGGAAGAAGTATAAAGTTGTCTGCTACCTCGGCAGCTGGGCGAACTACCGACGTGGTGATGGAAAGTTCCTCATCGAACACATCGACCCTTTCCTCTGCACCCACCTCGTCTACGGTTTTGCGAAACTCAGCGGTAACAAGATTGCCGCCTATGATCCTTACCTGGACTTAAAGGAACACTGGGGCTTAGGTAAAGATTTAACTTATAAGAGAAGTTATAATTTTTTTTAGGCTTAGGGAAAAAAGTGCTTGAACATTCTTTGATTATCCGAACTCTATAAAGATCAAGTTCGAATAAGCGGTTTGTTCAGATAATTTATTTTATTTCTTAAGAAACCATTATTCTCAATAATTTATTATTTAGTTGTAAAAATTAAGTTTCTTATTTAGACATTAACTCTACACTGCATGGCGCAGCGTTTCGTCAACATAAATTTAGATTACTTTCCTGAGGCATCTATCTCGTTTTCAGATGAAAATTTAATGAATCTAGTGAATGTTCATGTGCGTTCTTAGAGCACGTTATCCTTAATTGCATTCATAGATGTCACAGGGTGCATAGAAATGTAGCTGATACCAAATTATGTAGATTGCATTCGTAATATATTTTAGAACTGACTGGGTTTCGAGGTTTCAAAAATTATCTTGGGGTTATACGCGTGTGATAGAAATACAAAGAAATAAAAAAAAAAAACCGACAATTTTATTCTCGAATAACTTTCTTTGGTGTATAAAATTTTGTATTGTTGTTTAGCAACATCATACATTCAGTCAGAGTTTGGTGACACTTTGTACCCTGTAAATCAGCTGATTGCTAAATTTTGAAGCATTTCATTTTGCATTTGTGATTTTATATGCATTGTTTTCGTGAGTTTTGTATTATAAGATGAGTAGCGAGAAAGGCTCATATTGTGGAAAAAGCTAACAGTTAATTGAACTGATTGGTGAAATATGGTTTTCAACAACAATGCTTTGTAAAAAGGGATTACGACGTCCGATTTAATGATAGCAACATATTCAGTTAAACAGGTGAGGACACGGTGAATTGTATGGCTTCTGAGGTAAATGCTAAAACTAAAACTCGGCGGCACAAACAGCCCTTGGACGATAGTGCCCTGATATCTGCTATCTAGACCGTGTGTTCCAGGATGCTTGTACATTTTCCCTAGACAAGTGGTTAGCTTGCCTCAGGACCCCGGTGTATAGTCCACAAGCGAACTTGGTACTCATTTTATCTACCCACTCCAGGAATGAAAGGCTATGTCAACCTTATCTAGCCCAAATATCAAACCTCGGACCTGTGGTGGTGCTTGTCAGACGCGCTAGCCACTGCCCCACCATGCCTACTGAAGTGAATGCTATTACCCAAAAAAGGCCTTCAAGTGAAACTGACCCCGCTGGGCTGTCAGAAAATGCTGGCAGAATTTGAAATGAAGGATGTTGAGTGAAATAGCAGTGACGTTAGAAGTGTACCAAGAACATCTGGGCAAATTAAGATATCAAAAAAAGAATGGGATGGAATGGAAGGCTGAGAAGATGAAGTATGTGGAGCAACCTGTTCTTGGAATAGAAGGTTTACTTGATACTAGTCAAGGAAACTCCCTGTTAATATAAAATGCGTGTAATGCGTTTATAAAGCCATTTAATTATTTTCAATTTCTACTGTACAAATGGTTGTAGAGAGAAAGAGAGGAGTTATCATTGAATGCATGTTGTTGTCTAACAGCAACAAGCGATAAATAACTTATTAAATGCAGTAAAACAAGAAACACGCATGCACACACACTGATATGTACATACGCACTGGCAACTTTCGGAGATTTCTCTCCAAATTTGGTGATTAATTTTTATTTCGCCAAGCTAACCATTTCTTTTGGGGGGGGGTGTTCTATAGCCATTTAATTGTAGCCAAGCCATCTATCTATATATGGCTATTAACTATAATTTCGCATGCAAATGCTTTACGCCGGCAATTTTCGCCATACGTGTACCAATTTATGGTTTTTTATTGAGCTGATAAATTTGCGCAGGAAAAAATTTGGTATTGCCATTTGAAAATTTTGAAATGTTTTCACCCTAATCATAACCGTGAGAGCTTTATTATTTTAAATCATAACTTTCTCTAGAGCACGTCCTGAAATAACAATATCTGAAATTTCATCTCGAGTGGTTGAGCAGATAGGCCGCTTAGGGTTCATATATCTGGGAAATATTTTATGGCCACTTTGTATATTCCTGCGAAAGCTGAAACTGTTAGTATGCAACATATATGGAAAAACCAATACAATGAGTTACTAGCTGATAAACTAAGGCGATGACGTAGGAAAACATGTAGGAATTGAGAATAAATTGAAGTATAATTTTATGCGAATACAGGAAATTCGGATGACAGAAAGACAGTAGCTACGACACTATATCGGGATTTGTAATACGATTTTCTGAAATGTTAGAAATCAAGAGTGAAATGCTGGCGCATTCCTTAATATCCTTAATAGCATACAGTTTACTTAAAATGTTTTTAGCCGAAATGTAACAGTTTTCATATAGCTGGTTTCCGAAGGTGAAATCTAACGGTTTATGGGCCATTGAACATATAGTGATCTGAGTCTCCAGCGACTCCGTTATTGCATTATTAATCACTGTCATAAACACCGAAGCGGTTTAAGCAACTCATGTAGAAATTGAGAATAAATTGAAGTATAATTTATTGAATTGGGTTAACTCTGCTGTTCTGTAGTTGAGCTTCATGCTGACTTTAGGGATGTGTATATAAACACTCTTCTACCTGTTAAATACGCATTCCAGCTACTCTGCACCATTCCATGAACCTTCATATGCGAGCTTCAAGCTTATGAAGAGGGTTCTAAAGTTCGAGTCCGAAATTTCCTGCTTTGCTGTTTCATTGGCACTTTCATTACCAAAAACTCCAGTGTATGCACGAACCCACTGGAAATTCTTTCTCATGTTCTCAGTTAGGAAGAGCAGTAGTCTCTGAATTTTTTTTCTAATTGGATTTTGCATTGTTGGCTTTGAATAGTCTAGAATCAGATTAGCTATATATTGTTAAATGCTGTTTGTATAAGATTTGTATTGCTCCTCTGAGAGCAACCAGCTCGGCTTGAAAGACTGAGTTGCTGGAATTTAGCCTTCGTGACCAGGTGTGGATTGCATCGTGTCCTAACATTTGGTAGAACCGCTGCTTGTATCCTGCTCTCCTTTGCAGACCATGTGTACACAAAACAGGATTTCTGGTACTGCTGGCGGTTTCAGGTCAATATGGATGTTGAATTCCGCTGTGTTCCAGGATGTTCAGGCGGAGCTCAATTCGTAATCTCTGTGATAGTGGAGACAGTTACAGAGTTTTGTTTTATATTTTACTCTCTGTGTCCTAATTATTTTATATTCTCTGAGATAAAGCAGAACTCACCCAGCATATTCAAGCCGCTAGTGGGACCACTATGGTGTTATCTGACAAATGCTCAGTAAAAATGTTTGTTGCTTCGATTCAAGCTGATTCATCATATGCGTACTGTAAATAATCGTTTAGTTTTAAACTAACCAGCTTTTGTTCAGTTTCTTATCTTTTTTGTCTTTCCTCAATTCCATTTCCTGTCAGAATGATATTTCATTTTCGCATGTTATGCAAAGTAGAGCAGAAAGATACTATTTAAGCTGATGTCTGAATTACTTCAGACAGAGCTTGTTCTGCCGTTTGGCCGCGAATTTTCGCTGTTTAAACTTGCTGTTTTACGGCCGTGCATATTAATTGACGGTTTGTGTACGTCGGTGATAGGGCTGATATTCAACTCGCGTTGATTATATCTAAGCAGTTTCAGCTAATTATTTAGTGTTAATATTTATAATTTTATTCTGAGTTGCAACCAAAAGTATTGGCTAAGTTTGTAAGCACCAGGAGTGCCGTCTGTGAATTCATTCTTGAGTTGAATAAAAGGGTCTCCACTAATACAATTTCAATTTAGAGAACAGTCGCTTCACAGTACAAGTAAAGATTTAGCCAGCAACGTAAAGTTAATTCAGGTAGAATCTTACAGATCCATAAGTGAACTCTATATGGAAGCCCCATGTAGCATTTCTCTTTCAGAATTATGGAATACGAAATCTTTCGCATTTGTGAGGATGCCACCCCCCCCCAATATTTTGCTGCTGTTGTTTTGAGCACAGAATTCGATAATTTGAGCAATCTTTGCTTGATGTAAGAAATATGATGATGCCAGGTGATTCTGTCATCTGTAATGACATTTAGGTATTTGAGGGGTTCAACGAGGTTTATCTAGGGCATATTTGGCACGCATTTCGTGTTTTCTTCTGCTGGGACCTCTGGCTACAATATGCTATGCTTGAGACAATAAAATACTGTCGAATGGGCATATTAGTATGAATCCTATGCTTTCTCCCAATGAAAAGTATCTCAGAGCAATTTCGTCAACAAACAGCGAGTATTTCAATGATATTATATTCTAATTAGAAAAGAAAATAAATTTTTCACTTCTGAAAAATTAATTAAAGAACTAAGAGTTAAATATTCTCTTGAACATTGATAACATTAGCTGCATTGCGTTTATAAAAAGACTGAATTTTTCTTGTAACAAAAACTTCTATTAAAACTCGTTTTGCATGATTATAATGAGCTGGAGAAAAGTAAATGAAGAGACCGTCATGCTGATGACTGTGAATAAATGAAATATGTAAAATTTCTTTTACTTTAAAAGCTTAATATAAACTTTTAAAATATTTAATAATGATAATATTTCTGGTCTAATAAGAGAAGAAGCTTACTTTGGAAGTGGATGTAACTACAGGAGACACAGCAGTAAATTGTGGTGGAGATTCCAACCAAACTTTGGTACACTGCATCTGTGCAAATAAATATTAACAACTCGATTAAGAACTATTTCAAAAACCATAACTTACCTATTCGGATTATACTTCTGACAGTGTAATCGATATCTGCTGTTTAAGAAGATGCCGCAAACAAAACGAATGATTATTTTTGCAATTGTTGATAAAAGCTATTAGAATTTCAAATTATGCCTTGTGTTTTACTTCCCTTCAGATAAGCGCACTATGCCTTTAAACCAGTTTAAACCGGTTTTTTATTATCTGTATGCTATAACTTCAGATTTCGGATTCAATTTTAGGCAATTAAATTTCGGAACCATAAAGTGGAATTATTTTTTTAAATTACTAATTTTAGAAGAAAAACTTAGGTATGCAGTGCTGAGATATCTCATGATTTTTACAGAAGAAGGCGTGACATCTATTGACATAGTGCGCTCGGGAAAAGTTTAAAATAGTAAATTCACCCACAATTAAGAGAAGAATACGTGGCTGGAGCCCTTAAGGAGAGCTTTTTGAATGACGTTTCCACTAAAGAAAATTAACTTTTAATTTAATTAGCGTACAGATAAACTACTAAATTCCTACAAGACCAAGCTCTTTTGCATGCTGTCTAACTCCCGACAGAAGTAATATTCATTGTTTTTAATCCTACCAGCTACAACTATTTAGACGGAGAACTTATAAGGTATTTCTCCCGCCTTCTCAGCATACCTTCGTGGTGTGATGGTTTGCACGCAGGGCACAAATTCCAGAGGTCCGTGGTTCGATTCCTGGCGAAGGCGTTGCATATTTTTCACCTCGCCTGCATCCAAAAATAATCCTAATGTCTCTACAAACTTTACCCAGAAGTTTTTAATTTTTGACGTAGAAATAAAAAAAAATATATGAATTTAACTTTTCTCCAGTAAATCATAATATCACTTTTTCCTTCAGGTGCATTTGCGAGATTTAACAACATGAAGAAGGCAAACCCTGAATTGACTACTCTTATTGCAATTGGGGGATGGAACGAAGGGTCCATTAAATATTCCAAGATGGCTTCAAATCCTGCCTCAAGAGCCATTTTTGTTAAAAGCGTGGTAGACTTTTGTCTTAAGTACGACTTTGACGGTTTAGATATGGACTGGGAATATCCGGCTAACAGAGGAGGTGCTAAAGAAGATAAGGAAAATTTCATTTTTCTCCTTAAGGTAACACTAAAAGTTTTGATCTGTAATTTCGTTTACATAGATTATAAACGTTGTATAACACATATATTTCTAATGTATCTGAAAGACTGAGATATTATGACATTCATTTATACAACTTTTATACATGCCTGTAAACCATAGTAAGGAGTTAGCATATTAAGATAAATGTGTATTTCGATGACAGACCAAGGTGATTCGATGACAGACCCCAGCACAGTAACCTTCAGTATAAAGCACCCAAAGCCACGCTTTTATGGCTTGCTGAACCTTTATGTTGTTGACAAATTGCCTGCTCCTAGAACGGAATATTATGAGGCTAAGTATTGGTAATTGTTCTACGTATGTAAAACATATTGCTGGTCTTAATATTCAATCTCAGCATATTATATTATTAGAAAATGTGTACTATAATTGCAGTAGATACTATACATTTTCCTTCTTATAATCAACATATTCTAGACAAAGATTTTCCTTTATGTAATTCGCAACATTTTTATTAATACATTTTATACTTCATTTCACTCTACTATTTAAACATTTAATTTTTCCATATTTACTACATTTCTGGATGTCTGTGATACGATTCTTTGCTACAATTGTTCGCATATAATTCTTTGGCTATTACATATTTTTTCACCAACGTACACTTTATACACTTGCTTATAATTTACTTTTTCATTTCTTTTACAAAGTTTTCCTTTGCCATAATGTAGCTAATGTCTGCGCATATGTAGTCTAAATCAAAACTTATTTTAAACTTTTCAGTGTCCTCATTTGGTGGATCAAATATCATATCTCATTTGGTTCGCTTTTTACAGATATTTGAAGCACTGACATTTTTTGTTAATTTTCCGTAGAGTTTGGTTATCATAATTTATTTTCACTGGCCTGTGAATACTTTTTCGATGTTCGTTTCTTTAATACAGTAATGCTGACACGCTGTGCCTACTTAACCATTGTTTGAAGTATAAATGTTCTTCATAGTTATCACTGTTCTGCTCTGCCTAGGTGTCTCTTCAATAGTTCCAGCAGATAAAAGTCGGTAACGGCAAGACAGGGTTTTCCAGTGGATCTGTCATTGAAAGCACAGTGACAAGGTGGCTATTGGCGGAGTGTGGTTTGGCGTTATCGTGCAGTAGTATGCAGCTCATTTCTTTCAGAGAAGCCAATTTCATTTCGACGAACTGAGTCTTGCAGCCTCATTAGTGTGTCATAATAATGAGACGAATTCTTTCCTCCCCGTCCGGTATATAAATCTGCAAGAAACAAGCACTTGTGATTCTAAAAACAGTCATTATGACATTCTTTGAAGATTGTATTGTTTTGAAATTCTTAGAATGTAGGAATAATGGGCTTCCATATCATGAATGCTTTCTTTATCTGTCTTGTCACATGATATATCTATGCTTCATCGCCTGAAACAGTACGATGTAGAAACAATACTCCTTCCTTTTGGCACCGTCTCCGCTGCGACAGAATTTATGCAAACGTCCTAGGAGGTAAGCAATTTATCTTAATAGTAAAAAGAGATAAATCTTTATAATAAACCTCTCTCTTTTTTTTTTTCACGCTTGTGACTTTAAGATCTTTTCTGAGTTGCCACAGTGGGGTACAGAAGCATTAACATGTTTTCTGTACCCCAGCAAATTATGTAAAATACTTCGCACAGTTCTTGCTAAGGTGTTTATTCGTTAGGATTATCACAAAGTTGAACTCATGTGTTCCCCTGAATCAGCTTTTCAATATGCTGTAACTTGTCATCTAGGTAAGATTGTTTGGTTGTTCAAAGCTGTGCTCATCTTGCATGTCTGTCTCCCCATTATCAAATACTACTTCTTTTCCTCACATTACCATGCATAACATTAACTTATGTTTAAGTGAATGTGTAGTTTCCCTTAGAAGGAAGGAATTTCTCTCGAGCACGACATTCCCCCCCCCTTCAGAAAGATAGCCGTAGTTTGCTGTATAGTAATCTTGTAAATCCAAATTCCATGGTCTTAGTGCCGTATAAATCTGCAATTTCAGCTGTTGATATACCATTTAATGGCAAAAAGCTGGTTACATTTCAATCTTCATTATCCGCATGAATATTTGATAAGATTTCTGTCAGTGCAAGCGTCGTACAATTGATGCCGGAATAAATTAATTGACAATAACATGTTGAAACAAGACCAGCACATGGCATGCAGGTAGGTATATATTAGGTATCACCGGGCATTACTAATTGTCAAGCTTCTGCCCCAGTTTTGAGGTAGAACACGTCGAGAAGCGGTCCGAGGATCTACCATCCCTCTTCTCCTACCACAACCTCAAACATGTGAATATATATATTGAACGTATATTTCAAGTGTCCCCTTGCCACACAGGTACTATACGGTTACAAACATTCAAACCTTCTCCGGGATTAGAAAACGGGCCATTGGTATGACAGTCAGCTTCTCTAACCCCTATATTAACTGGAAGGCTATATTAATTGGCATAAGGGGCCTTAAAGTGCCATCTATCAAAACAGTTCTCAACCATTACGATCTCTTTAAAAAATATCACTATTTTTTATGTTCGAAAGCATTCGAAGGATGCATGTTCGAAGGCATTCGTCAGGGACAGCCAGATATATCGATCATTTAGCCGTCTCATGATCAAGAACGTACTCAGGATGTACGAAGCTGACGGATATTGCAACCGTAAAAAGAAGTAGTGATACACACATATAGCCGAGATTTACACAGATTTTGAACCTCCACTCTTGATTTTGGTTCAGCTGTCCGCCTCCGTTAACCACGATACCGAACAGGGTGACAAAACTGGTAATTATATAGGAAATTATATTATCGCAAAAGGTCTGTGATTTGTGCTACTTATCCTCCTGATATAAATCAGATCAGAACCACAAGTTTATACTGCCAAGAGGAAGAAAGAGCGCCTACTACTGACGTAAGATTTTAAACTTTGTGAGTATGTGACTCTGGCCAGTTCTTTTTCAGTTTTAATCAAGAACAACCCAGAGAACGGAGTTTAGAGTTACTTGTCTTCCCCTAGCCGATTGAGGCCTCTTGAGGATGCTTCGTCTTGATGAATTTTAAGTACCTCCCTACTGCAATTATACTGTTCATCTATAAACACTGGGATTTGAAGCCGAGCCTAGTGATGTGGTAGCCTCTTCGCCAAACCGACTAATGCAGCTTCTAAAAGGTCTTATTACTTTATTTTGAATTATTATCACAATTACAATTACAGATCGGTTTGACTTCAAAAAAATTATATCTTGAAAAATTAGCCAGGTTAACAGCAACTCCTTTTGTAAGGCCAAACTTAGAGACAAAGAGAAAGCTGGATGTTTCGTTCGAGTACGTTAATCCATGCGATGTAGACTTGTCTAATAACCTAATAAACTCTACAGACTAAGATATCATATATGATGATAACATGGCCTTTAAGTGAGCTTATTGCCTCATGCATAACAATGTTCATAACAAAATGTACTCAGATTTGTTAAGCATCAAAGCCAAACAGAATATATAGAAATGTATATTACAGAAATATTAACGAATGATGTTAAAAACACAGAACTTTTAATACTGCAAGATTTACTTGATGAAGGTTTCAGAAAACAGACCAGGCAAATGTATTATATAACACCATAAGTTTTATTCATAACTTATGTGAAATTCGTGCTGCTGTAGAAAACTGTGAAACAGAAGTGAGCAAGACGGAATGTAAAGCATCCGCGTAGTTCGATTGGTTGGACAAAATTGAAAATAAAGTTAAATTTCCGCTGCTTGGAATTGAGGTTCCTCTAACGGTAATAAAAGTAATGACGTGGTGATAAGTAGTAAAGGTATCATTACTCCAGTAAAATATGTTACCAAGAGTCCGCTAATAATAGTTTGGAACACATCAACTACTTCTTTTAAACTTATGAAAAACTATAAAAATCGAATTTTTCAAACATTGAAAAGATGCATATGGAGGATATTTCCTTTCACACATTTCATCTTCATACGTATAAATTAGTTAAAGTAGTTATTGATAAATTTCTAAATGATGTGCTAACAGACGGAAAAACGAAAGATCTTGCCGGCAAGGCATTCCTTTCGAGATCAATTTCAAAGATTTAAATATGGAAGTGTCTATGATTTTTTAGTATTTTATGCAATTTCTAACAAATAAGAAAGCTAAAAAATTTAAATAAAAAAAAATAAACCTGAGAAGTAATGTTACTTCAGGATAACACTAGTGACATTTAAGCTATGGGGAGGAGATACACGGTGTTATAAATGATACAGATATGGAAATATACAAATTTGTCATACCCGCTATGGACCATCCAATGTGACTAAATTTCCCGTTTAGTTGATTTTAAAATTAAAAGAAAAAGGGGAAAAGAAAAAGTTTATTTTGACTACAGGAAATCATATTGTAGCCAAGTAAAATTTGCCAAAATATCTAAAAAAGTAAAAATTTCACAAACAAGCAGAAATCGGTAAGAAATAAAGAGAACTATAAAAACTCTTTTGATGCTGGAAAGGATAATTAAAGAGAAAAGTTTGCGAATAAAGATGGTGATAAAAATTGATGCAGTGTACTCTAGACCAAGGGAAGCAGTGATAAAAACATGTGAAACAGGAAACGCCTGGTGTGTAAAGTGAAAGATATTATAGAAGACTTTTAAATGTTTTAAATGTGAAGAACATTTATAATAAAGAGGTTTTTTTTTTTTTTTTTTTTTTTTTTTTTTTTTTTTTTTCAAATACAGTAGCCGGACACTGAATTGGGAGAAATTCGCGAGGAATGGCCGAACCAATAGGTCATTTAACCGTTTCATTTCAATGAAGTAGTACGGTCTCATCACGGGGTAGACAAATATTGCGGCCGTGAAACAAGGAGGACATACACAAAAAAAAACTAACCTTACGCGAGGAAACAATACTAACCACTACACCATTCAGGGTGTGTTCGGGACAACGCAGAAGTTGCCTTCAAGATACTGAGAGATTTCGTAAAGCAACAATGGCTAAAATCCATAATTTACCATAAATCAATGGCAGGATAAACGCTGCATTCTTTAGTTGCAAAGGCATAAATTCACTGATGGCAGAGTTCTAATTCATTCAAAAAGGTAACGCTGATGTGGAAAAGATAACATAGATGCTTAAAATAACGCATTCAAAACCATTCGGAAAATTTAAAATTGTAAACTATCTGAATTTTAGAAAGGGATAAGGTGGCGTAGAGACGGCCTGATCATTCTAATCAAAAGATCATTTACCTATTTAGTTACAAAATAACCTAACAAACGTAGCACTAAAGCTTGCGGTATGTTCTTGGAAAATAATCCGAAACAGTATTATTAGTAGCAGTTTATCGATTACCAAATAAAGACTTGTCAATGAGTATGATGCAAATCCAATTTTTGCAATTTTAAAGGGTGACTTAAAGAGCAAGCACCCATTATATAAAACACTGATTTCACAAATAGAAATAGAACTTTTATCTACCTGTTATTTTATTAGTCATAAAAACCACCTTGCAATTTCTGTCCAGAAGTACAAATACATTTCTCTTTAAATGGGCTATTCTGGGCATTTTTATAACTAACAACATAATTTAGGTACTTAATCTTAAGAACGTTAATAATGTATTGTCATATTAAGTTGCCAATAGTCTTCACGTTATATAATATCTATCATTCACTTATTACTACAGTAAACTAGGCAACAGCATTTAAACCATTTCCTTTCTCTCCAGTATAATGAACATTGACAGAAACATTGAACATTGACCTTGCAGCATTTTCATTAAAAATAAAGAATGATTAAATTATTAATGCTAAATTTCAAAGCGCAATTAACAGGTTATCTTTTATCACAATAGTCACAGATTGAAAACTCAGTAGAAGAATCCTGGGAAAACATTGACAGCCAAAAATAGTTAAAAATGAATATAACGTTATCTGCTTAAAAAAATAACAGCAGATTTCAACTTCAAGAAAAAGAAATCAGATGCTTTTGTACGAGTTATCGCACTGAGATATAGAACGTTATTTTTGTAAATATCTGTCACGAATATCATTTAGTAGCAAAAGCCCTCCCTAAAACCTAAGAGCATCAGCCAACTACTCAGTAATAGTCACATTATTTACCTGTCCAGTGACATAGCAAATATCCTTGTGGGCTGTTATAAAGAGTTTAGCAATAATCACACTAGTTACTAAGTTGATGCATACATCAAAAACACTTCGCAGGTTTACTATATTGGAATGAACACTTATATTACGAATGTCAGATAAGATAGATATGTAACAATGTTTTACATTCGATGAGTACAATAAACAATTAAATACTTATATTACAGAAGCTGAAACAATAATTTAGCTATTTGGGGAATGACTGTGATGAGAGCTGTTTCAGATTATTGCGTTTTTGCAGCGCAGTAGGTAATGATAGCATATAGTTTCGATAGAGCAACATTGTTAATTTGAATATTATTCCACCACGCTGCGCGAAACATGGGTGCTGGTTTCTTTAGATGGAACTTCGCCGTCAAAGTAATTGTGGTCTGGACTGTCCATTTTCCTGCAGTCGCAGATGTCTGTGTTGGATAGACTAAACCTATGCAGATAGGCTTTGTACGGTCCATAACCTGTTAGGAAATGTGATATGCTGCCAGTTTCGCTCTGCAGATCCATGCTTACACTTGGGAGCATTGCATGTGTACGTCGACCCGTTGTTCATGCAAGGCACCAGAGTACAGCTCCCGACTCTGCTTGGTCGTTCTTGGAACTCCACGTACTCTCGTAACTCTCCACGCAACAGCTCGCGATGCATTCGACGATACCCTAGAGTACAGCTCCCAACTCCTCGGTTCAGTCGTTCCCGGAGCTCAACACACTCTCTCGACGATGCACTAACCGCGATACACTAAGAGACTCTTTCGGTGCACTCGACGACCAACTCGGCACTCGCTGACCGAGTGTCAACTCGATCGACGCCGCACGGACTGACTAACTGACTTGACACTAACTAACTCGATTCTTCATGTACCAGCAGGAAGAATAAGAACACGTATTCTCCACGTAAGAATTCGTTCCAAAAGTTCTCCATCCGTCCATGGCATATCACCAATTTTGTCGCTAAATGTCGCCAAAAGGGTGATTTCTCGCCAAATGTGGCACCCTGTCTTACCTTACATTTTATGGCAACACTAAACCTGCCTTGCGGGGAAGCTATCTTACCGCGCCTGGACATTTAGTAACAAAACAAATGGTTCAGTACTAATCTTCATAATAAAGGATGGCAATTCGATTTACCACTAACGACAGCGCGCAAGCGTATTTGCTGAAATGTCATTTAAGGATTTATAATTCATTTCGATCAAGAAGTCATAAAATATACGGAAGAATAGGCCATAAAATGGCCCGAGTTTGTACAGAAGATAAGGACAGTGATTGCATCAGTGATGAATTTTAACATAATAATAAATTATTTCTGAATTTGTTTCTAAAAAGAAGCCTCCATAAACTGGATGTTCCTTTGAATGTACGAAATGTTTTTCCAATATTATCCATCATATATTATAATTATTATTTAATTACGTTATTATTATACATTATTATTATTAAATTATATTATTATTTTACATTATTATTATTATTATATATTATTGATATTATTTAATTATATTATTATTATTATTAACTCATATATCAATTATTATCTGTTTCTAATATTATTCCTTATTTAATGTCTTTAATTCCATAAACCATTCGAATTTATTCGCATATGAAATTAATTGATCGTTAAAAAATAATTTTTTTTCTATTTAATTAATGTCCTGTGATAACAAAAAAGTAATGTATCTTACTCTATAAATTAATTATGGTGTTCAGAAAAATCTAAGGTTTTTGTTATTTATCTAAGTAGATTTTTAGTTACAGTTAAAACACAAAGAAATCCGATATTCAGCCTAAATTCAAATTCTTTCTTCAGGATCTAAAAGAAGCTTTCGCGCCTTATGGGCTAGTGCTGTCTGCTGCTGTATCCGCAGGACAAAAAACTATCGACAAAGCTTATGACATTGCTCAAGTTGGAAAGTACGTATATAATAGTTGATTCATCTGAAAACACTGATTATTTATGTAATACATTAACTACTGGTTATCCTCAAATCAGTCTTAAAGTCTTAAAGATGGAAAGAAATGGAGTCCAAAATCTAATAATTTATAGATGTTCAGAAATTTGATGGATTTCTCCATTAACGTACTATAGAATACTTTTATTGGATGTACTAGATCCCATTTAACTGAAGAGAAGACCCCTCGAATAGTCAGGCTTCTTTTCAAAAAGCTAAAAATTGTTTATTTTTTAAGCTAAAACTATATAACTTGGTAAGGACGTGTGTCATCGGTCATCATGTAAAACTTTGTGTTGCCACTTTGCAAAGCGCCATCAGAAAATCTGGCGATGTAAAAGAAGTGTGTTGCCACTCGCAGAATATTTGTCTCTCGAATTTAATAAACAAACTAAAAAAAACTGAAAATTTTAAAAACTAAAATTGCTCAAAATCTTAAAAACAAGAGAAAGTTCACTATCTACATAAGATTTCGAGAAACCACTCCATGGAGTCCATACCCAGGGCGTTTATATTAGAACGTTGTCCTCACATCACCCGTCTTAGATTCCCGTAGCCGTTGTTGGTTCCTGGCTATCAGTTCTTACTAAAACCGTGACACTGCTGTATTAACTTTCTCTTTACAGCAGAGTCCAACTTTTCCACTACAGTGAAGAATCATTAAAGCTAACATTTTTTCGCGAATATTTGGAAAATTGTGATGAAATCGGCCAAAGTGAATTTCCAAAAAAACACATAACCGATGATAAAGCGAGGGCCAGTTTTTACTAAAATCATTTCATGGCACCGTATTGATTCTATACTGTTCTTCCCTTTTATTCCAACTGAGTGAAATTTTGCACAAATCACCTTGAACGAAGATAGAAGGAAATTCATTGTCTACCTGAGATTCTGAGAAGCCTCTTTACTCTGCGTAGAGCCCAAGCAACGTCGGAGCTAGTGTATTGTATCTACGATAAACTTTTGAACACATTTCTCTAAAATAAACTTCAAAAGATCCTTTTAAATTTTTTATCTCTAATTAAATCACATAAAAAATATATTATATGTCAGGTAATTAAAACGTTATAAAAATCTTTACTTTAATTATAATTTTTAATCTATTAAACCGATTTCCTTCTGCATTATAACTGTATGAAAAACTGAGTGTGCTGAAATTTAAATGCGTGAGTATTCACGAAAACAAAAAATAGCAATGTAAATCTCACAGTAATATAATGAAAGTTCTGCTTTCAAAATTCGCCCTCTGGAATTTTGTCAATATTATTAGTAGTCCGCGGATAAATTTAATTCTATAATACAAAAAATGTACTGTAAATAAATTTTTAATAAATTATTAAGTTTTTTTATATTTCCGCTTTTGTAGTTTGTATACTTTCAAGGAGCTAAACAAAACAAATTTAAATTGCTACATTTAATAGATACTTGAAAGTCATATTTAGAGAAGATAGTTTAATAGATACTTGAAAGTCATATTTAGAGAAGAAATTTTATAGTTCACTATTTCTATGTGCAGTATTCTAAGGTACAGTTTGTATTTAAGATATGTACTTTGCTTCCCTAAATAATGAAGAAATTAACAGTTTGATTTAAAACAAAGCTTAGATACTGTTTCCGAACTCATTTATTCAACATTATTCAGTTAGCTACATCTACAGCTTCAATTAACAGGGCTTCGATTAAACCATGTTTGATTAAGAAGGAGTTTTGTTGATTCTGTCAAAATTTTATTCTGTTAGAAGACATTTCAAAAATCTATTAATATAAATTGAGAATGGAATACATCGCTTCATTGCAAAAAATCCAATAACGGAAAAATGAAACGGAAAATCCGTTATGAATTTCAGAATGGATACATTTAATAAAAATAGTTTGTTTAAAGGGTTCTGTTAGTGTAGCATAATATTTGAAAATGGAAGAAAAAAGTCTATCTTATATTTTTATGGATACCATAGAAAACTACTATGGTTTATCGTGATCGGAAAAGTGCAGAAAAATAAAAGAGCTAGAATATTAAGCAATAAAAGAGAGTTTAGGTAAATCAGGATTTTGCTTTCTTTGGTAGAAAACGTCCCATACCTTTTCCTTTATTTATAGCACGTATTGAAGAATTAAGCAATTAATATTAAGAAATAATAAAAGTGGATACATTTGATAATGCTAACAAAAAAAAAAAAAAACTGAATGCATTAGAGATGCATCGAACAAAAAATATTTTCATTTAAAAATTACAATAATAGCATAATGAGTTATTAGAATTACAATTGTAGCAGTTTTCTTTAGTGTTCACTATTTAGGCCATACCAGTGGCAGAGTGGTTAAGAAACGGCTGAATAGTCGTATTTCGTCCAGTATTCGAATTCAAAAGAACGGGCTGACTACATGGCTGGTTTTCGTGGTTTTTTCCATGTATAACCTAAACATGGCACACTTTCTCTTTAGAGAGTCCTACGCAAAGGCACCCCTCCCCTTAGAGAGGTATCTCCTGTTTAGAATAACCAACCTTATTTGGGAATAAAAATAGAATTATCCCATTTTTGTTCTCTCTAATTTTTCATAGTTCTAGAATTTTTTTATTAGAAAAAAACAACGTGAAATAATCTGTGAAAATATTTGTCATATTTTTACATAAATTAACTACACTAAACGAAAATTTTCAATGATAAATGTATTAAACTTGAAACAGACATTGAGTACTACGCTTTGAAACCTATTATATTGTTACGAATTTTGGATAATGTAACATGAACGGCTTCAAGAAAAGCGAAGCTCTGCCGGAAAATAAGATTACAGGAGTGTAAGTCTAGTTGAGATTGAGATAAAGGACTATGTCGATAAATTGGCGAGATATCATCAAGCTGGTGATGGTTTTAGAAATGACTTTTTTTCTCCAAATTTCGCGAGAAATCGCCAAACTTCGCTAAACTTGGTGTTTGTTTATCCTTATATGTAACTTTAACCCTATATGACTCTCAGTAATTTCGAGAAATGGAAGGTAGAAATTTCTCGGCGACCAGGTGGGAAACTAGTATGTGAGACCGGTGAGTTTTTCAGTTTATAGACTTCGGAGTAATGACAGATCATCGTTCACGCTTCGCTCTTTATTTGCGGTTTGCATTGCGTTGTGTTTAATGTTCTTAGTAGTTTGAAGTGCTAACTACTGATTGTGCTCTGTTGTACTGAGAAGAGATGCAATAGTGCTTTTGCGGAGAGTTCCAGAGCTGTAAAGTGTTTCTTTTGGGAAAATAAATTTGATCAAGCAACCATCGGTTCTGTGTGCATTCAATCCATTATGAACCGGCACGCACGTAGCAATATAAACTTGCATCCGTTAAAATAAAGAAAAAAAAACAAGTAAGTTTGTATTTTAATTTTAAATGTTACTTAAAGAAAGATAAAGGTTGGTGGACTGTACCTTGTTGGTAATGCGAAATTGAAATAAGCAATACCTTTAAAATTTAAATATGCAGGACTTTAAACACTGGAAGTAGACTGGTATGAGGGATGCATTTACAGACTTTTCCTATTTACATTTCTGTAAGCTAGTACTGATGATTTAAAGCTCTAAGCAATCTTATTTAGAATTTTCGACTATTCTTCAGATATTCATAAGAAGAAAATTAGATTCGATTCTTTCTTTGGTTATTTCTGTATATTACAGTTAACTAACTGAAATTTATTTTTTTAATGAAACTTTAACTACTGTTTCACTTTGTTAGAAGAAGATTGTTGATTCAAGTTAATGATTATTTAAGGTAGTTAGCATAGGACATTTAATGTTTCTTTGAAAAATGTATGGAAAGAAAATTTTCCTTTAAGTAAAGATGCTGCTTATCAGTCTTTCAAAATACGATTGAATTAGTTATATAAAACGGCGATATGAATTTTAATAAAATTAAATCACATGAGAAAATTCAAATTAACTTTCAAATACTGATGTCTTTCTTCCATTCAATTCCTGTTTCTTTCCGGTCTCATATAGTTTTCTCCAGTCAGTCGAGAAATTTCCAGTACCTTTAATATCTCGAAATCGTTGGAAGGCATGCACAATACAGTTATATTACACAGGAATGGACGAAAGTGTGGCAAATTTGGCTACTTTTCGTGATTTCTCACAAAATTTGGCAATTAAAATTCGTCACCAAAACCATCGCCAGCTTGGCGATACCTCAAATGGACTTACAGTGCAGCCTTAAATTTCCGGCGAAGCTTCACATCCTACGACCTTTTATGTTACATTGTACAAGAGGTGCTACGGTTTACGTATAATTGCTGTAAATGTTTTAGATATACAAAATTCGTAACATTATAAACATCTAATCTAATATAAAGTTAGAAACAGAAATAATATATGTGGGATGTTATTTCATGATCTGATCGGACAAAACAAATTCTACATTAAATGGCTCAGAAGCCCTTAGGTTGATGATCATGCTTTCAGCTGAATTCTGGAGGGGTATGAAGGTATTTATATATTATGAAATGCTAGATAATAGTTTATGAGGATAGGAAGGTAATTATTTATTAAAATGCACTCTCAATATACAGGCAGATTATTAATGTCTACAATTTCGTTCTGCCAGCTTCGATGTCAAAGATTGAAATATGCCATCTGCTGTGATAGATAATGATACATTTTTGTAATCATTACTAAAAACTAAAACTACATTTTCCCCTTTCTGTATTAAAAGCGAAAATACTTCTGTAGTTTCTTTTGACTGACCAAAAAAATATACTAACATAGGTCTTTCGTAAAAGGATCTACAGTAAAGTATATTTTCGTAAATTTCAATCAAAAGTACTCGATATACAATTTCCTACTTTTTTAAACTATTGTAACTGATTTTCCTTTATAGATATTTAGACATTATTAATGTAATGACCTACGATTTCCACGGATCCTGGGAGAATGTAACAGGTCACAACGCACCTCTTCATGCCAGAAAAGAAGAATCAGACGAGCAAAAAATACTCAATGTAGTAAGTATAAATTACGTTACCCTATAAATGTAAAAGCAATTTAATGCTCAAGAATCAGACGAGCAAAAAATACTCAATGTAGTAAGTATAAATTACGTTACCCTATAAATGTAAAAGCAATTTAATGCTCAAGAATCAGACGAGCAAAAAATACTCAATGTAGTAAGTATAAATTACGTTACCCTATAAATGTAAAAGCAATTTAATGCTCAAGAATCAGACGAGCAAAAAATACTCAATGTAGTAAGTATAAATTACGTTACCCTATAAATGTAAAAGCAATTTAATGCTCAAGAATCAGACGAGCAAAAAATACTCAATGTAGTAAGTATAAATTACGTTACCCTATAAATGTAAAAGCAATTTAATGCTCAAGAATCAGACGAGCAAAAAATACTCAATGTAGTAAGTATAAATTACGTTACCCTATAAATGTAAAAGCAATTTAATGCTCAAGATAGTAGGTTTAAGGATGAGGTTTTCAATGCATCTATCTTGGACTAGTTGCAGCTTTACATTTTATTGTAATAAATTATGTATCTGTGCATCGATTTGGAAAGAAAACATCGATGATACTTTAAAATTAATAATGATAATAAAAATAGTTGAAATGTGACAAAAGTCTTTTCAGTTTAACATATATATGAAACAAGGTAAGCTTTCAAATTACGAAAGTTTTGATAATAGGGTCTGTTTTCGTAAAGGTGTAGAATGTTTTTCTTGTATAGTTCCTCTGCTTAGTATTATGAACTGGTAAATTCTTCTTTATCGTATTATACATAATTCTAAAAATTGCCATCTGGGATTATGCAGAATGGCTCAGAAACTTTTGTAGTCACATGAATCAAATCATTTCCGAGATGAAAGAATGCTCAAGAACACCAATGTAGGGATAAGTAAAAATTTAGTTACATTAAGTTTAAATACTGCGTTTCATTTTATCATTTTTACAAATGGGAAATTTGAAACATCTATATCCAACTTTGTCTGATGTTAAAGATACCTTTTAGAAATCTGCATTCAAAAACTTTTTAATACGGCTGTTTTTTAACTGTACATAGAACTTCAAAATTTTAATTAATGATACCGAGAATATTTTGATTGGAGATTTCCTCCTTCTTTAACAGATTTCAGTATGAAAAACGTTTCTTCACCGATCACTGCGTGGCCTCGCTCTTTCTATGGCAATCTTCAACAAAAACTTTTTAATATGGCTGTTTTTTAACTGTACATAGAACTTCAAAATTTTAATTAATGATACCGAGAATATTTTGATTGGAGATTTCCTCCTTCTTTAACAGATTTCAGTATGAAAAACGTTTCTTCACCGATCACTGCGTGGCCTCGCTCTTTCTATGGCAATCTTGCACATGGTCCGAGCCTGCCTGCTTTTGACTTCCGCTCTTGTGCATCCAGCGGGGAACAGCTTTTCTCCTTCATGTGGCGAGCACTTTAAATTAAAATAGATGCACACCCTGATCGGCTTCTTTCAGTAAATCTTTGATTATTTTAATTTCTTCTTTGATCTTCTATAGGGAATGTTTTCTCTTATTTTTTTCAAATTTTTCATTTTGATGATGTGGAGATAATTAATTGCAATTCTATTACAAAGTTACCTCGTATTTAAAATGTCTTGGTCATTGATCCGCATGTCCTGAATAAAAATTTAAACCCGTACGCAACTATATTCTGTTAATTTAAAATAGCTATTTCAAAGCCATATTTCCTTCTCTTCTTTTGTAACCATTGTAATATTTGCATTGAAGAAAGTCTAATTCCAAAGTTCAGTTTTGAAGAGAGGACAGCGTGTAGAGATAAACGGTGAAATAAAATGAAACAATTCATTAAGTGTGAAATGAAATGGGGAAAATATTTTGATACAGAAGTGATGACCTAGTTACAAAAAAAGCTTTGACCTTGAGACTCCCACTTTAAATTATCAACTGCTTAATTTATTATTGTCCTTTAAGCCTCTTCCTCAAAAAGCAAATGAAATGCATTGTTCAAATTTTATCATTTCTTCGTAAATTTAATTACATTAAGTTACATTTCAGCTCCATAAAACTTGAAAAAAGCGTCGTGCAAATTTCAGTAGATTTATATTTCATAGCTTCACATTGCAAAGTCATTAGGTTATTTTGAAGCAAAAGACATGAAAAGTAAGCAATCTGTCGCCGGGACTCGTACCTGTACCTCTCGAATACGCGTAGAGTGTGCTCCCATTATACCACGAAGACAGGCTGGAAGGAGGGAGAAAATACCTTATATATTCCCTCTCTTAAAGAAAGACTAAGGATTAACAGACTCAATCGTCAAATCCTGGTAGTGACGAATTATTGTTCACCACCTTTTAGTTCGGGCGCCACTGTAAAGTTATTAGGTTATTTTGAAATAGGAGACATGAAAAATGAGCAATGCCCTCGCTGGGACTCGAACCTGGACCTCTCGAATACGCGCCGATTGTGTTACCGTTACACCACAAAGGCATGCTGGAAGGAAGGAGAAAATACCTTATAAGATCTTTTATGAAATTCGAAGGTAATCATTGTCTACGGCAATTTGATGAATATCAGTGATACTTAACTCACCGACTTTCATAAATGAATATACCGATGTCGAGTTCTCAAAAGCTTCCGTTTGGGAAAACAGAAGAAAAACTTTTCGACTTAAAATATTTAGTGTTTCTGGGAAAATGCAGATAATAATACTCTTAATGCAAGAATGCAAAATTAACTGCTGAATCATTGCAAATCTGTACACTGGTTATCACAAATTAAGGAAAAATCACAAAAATTACGATTACTGAAAAAGTTACATGTAGAATTTTATGAAACTTACCCACAATATACATATAGTAAGGTATCAAATAACATAAAAATAAGTTATCAGACAATTACGGTAGTATAGAAATTAGCACATGTATAAAATGAACAAATCGAAGGTGTCAGTTTGCTATAGGAAAAGTACCTTCAATATGGAATATGGTCGCCTCTAGAAGCAATACAGCTCATATAGCGATGCGTGATGCTTTCAATTATGCGGTCTATCAGTTCCATAGGAAGCGAAACCCATTGCTCTTGCAAATCAGTTGCAAGCGCGGCAAGGGTCTGAGGGGACGGATTGAGAGCAGCTAGACGTCTCTCTAAAGCATCCCAAACGTGCTCGATAGGATTCAAGTCCGGGGATCGAGCTGGCCACTCCATGCGCATAATTGTTTCCTCTTGAAGATAATCATCTACGGTGCGAGCCCTGTGTGGTCTTGCGTTATCGTCCTGTAACAGGAAAGCATCACCTATTGCCCCGGCACATGGGAGCACATAAGCATGAAGGATGTCATCTCTATAAACAGGAGCATTCACGGTTTCCGTTGGAAAGACATGGAGGTCTGTGCGTCCACCCAAAGAGATGCCACCCCAAAACAGACACTGCCTCTTCCGTATGCATCTCTTTAACGGATGCTTGACAGATGATAACGGGTTCCAGATTCTCTCCATATCAAATAACGCCTACTATCGCTTTCTAGACTAAACCTGATGAATTATAATTTAATTTAATAAATGCCTATATTTTAATTTTCATCCGTAAAGAGAACCGCCCTCCACTGATCGGGCGTCCAGTGGACATGCCGTCGTGCCTACTGCAAACGGTCCTTCCTATAGCGTGATGTGAGTGACACGCAAATGGTAGGTCGTCTCGCATACAGACCACCTTCGTGAAGCCTTCTACGCACAGTTGACGTTGACACCAACCTTCCAGTGGCTACAGCAAGGGAGGATTTAAGAAGAGTCGGAGTAGCGGTTCTATTCCTGCGTGCACATAATGTCAAATATTGGTCATCGGCCCTCGTCGTAGCAATTGGCCGTCCTTGGCTTAACCTCTTAGATGCCGAATCTGTGGTTTGAAATAGTCTCCAAAGTCTATGAACCACAGAAGGACTAAAATTTAGCCATCAGGCCACTTCTGCTTGACTTTATCCTGCCTCTAGTCTCCCAATGAGTTTCCATTGTAGTTCTGCGGGCAAATGAATCCTGGAGGTCATTGTTACGAATTGGCTATCTCACATTTCTGATGCCACTATCACAGTAAAATATGTGGGCTTGTTCTCAAACATGGACTTTTATTTTCCTCGCAGATGACGTATTCCGAGTGTTAGTGTATCGCGGTTAGTGCATCGTTGAGAGAGCGTGTTGAGCTCCGGTAACGACTGAACCGAAGAGTCGGGAGCCGTGCTCTGTGTGTTGTCGAGTGCATCGCGAGTTGTAGCGTGGAGAGTCTCGAGAGTACGTGGGGTTCCGAGAACGACCGAGCAGAGTCGGGAGCTGTACTCTAGTGCTTTGCAGTGAAGCTGTCTCAACCATGATAGCCTGATAACCTGAAGGCTGAGTCGCTGATCGTGTCGGCGTGTTTATAGTAGTTCATCGACGACTGTAAACGTGTTTTGGAGCTGTCCTGATAAATATTGGCTAAATAAAATGTGTTTCGATACTTTATCCAGTGTCGTCGTTATTCAGTCCAAATCTACGAACCCCGTACGAACGTGAAGGAAGAAAATAACGTAACAAGTGGTGTCAGAAAAGAAAAACGCAACAATTCTAAATAACGTAACAACTGGTGTCAGAAGAATAAATGAAACGCAGTAGTATATTTACCAAATTAAAACTGCCTTTATTAATGGTGCGTAGACGTTGAGGTATATGTTTGTCAAATGCGAATAATTACGTTTTGTGGATCAACACAAATTCAACTGCAACAACAATTTGCTTTTATAAAAACATAAATAAATGATTAAAGAAAGATCCGAGCGTAAGAAAAATATAGTATAAATAACTTATCTATAATTTAATATGAAATTACAAATTTCAGATTTTGCTGGGGCATTCGAGGGGATAATAAAACCACTGAAAATTCAGAGAGCACTAAATTTGTCTAAAAGGTTGGCATTGACTGTCAAAACATTATAAATTTGGGGGAGGGGGTTGTATATTCTGATATTTCTTTTTCTAAAGGTATAAAATCAATTATGTTTTTTTAAACTAATATGACATTATAAGTTCAAAGACCTTCATTTTTAGATAACTTTATTCCGACGGGCAAGAACTTGCTTTAAACTTCATTTTAATTTATATGTTATAATTTTAAATTACTACAAAGAAGTTGGGGGGGGAATGCGTTAAAGCTAAAATAGTGACACAGCAAAACGCCAACATTTTATGAAAAGCATTTACTGAAATTCAGAAATCTTTCAAGTTTTTTTTTTTTTTTTTGGAAATAAAGAAGAACAATACAAGACTTAGAAATGTTAACGCCGAAATATCTTTTACCGTTTTCCGAATTCCCCCATAGTTTGTCATTCATATAACTCTTTCGATTACCCTACACACATTCTGACATGTTATTAGTTCGCGCTTGACAAACGTTCGACTACGATGAGGCCTCTGTTTTGACTCGAAATCCAACTTCGTTTAATATCTAATTTATTTCATTTTTCGAACACATACAGATAAATGCGATTATTTACATGTATTGTTTAGTATAATGATCAAATGATCTGTGCATCTTAATGATGAAAAAACATTCAGTATTTCAGTAACGTAACTGCTGCTTAATTAACTGCTTAGAAAGGGAATTTTACGATCATTACATTCAAAAACGAAACTGATTGCCAGATTCATACATCAAACAAAATTACAAAACAAACTATTAAATAATGAGAAACAGGAAATGCTAAATTTAATAGGAGTCGCAACAGCCTCAGAGGCCGGGCTTTATGCCAAGGACTGCAGAATAGAGGATATTTTTGAATTTGGCAAGAATGCTAGAATAACGGCAGATGATTTACACGCCAGGCAGATGATTTACACACACGGCCTATTTGCAGCCTTGATGACAAGGCTGCAAATAGGCCGAGGCAAAGAGATTCAGTTGCTGTAGAATAAACTGAACCCCACAACTAGTACAATCCGACATAATATTCTATAATTTTTTACTTTCTTTTTAAAAGAATATAAAGTTAGCAAGATATTTAATGTTCAATGTAACTGATAAAAGTAATAAATTATGCTTCAAAGAATTTGTTGAATGTTTAATAACAAATATTAACTTCTAAACTTCTTTATTTATCTATTAACTTCTTTATTCATTAATTCTTAACTCATATATTAGTAATTTTAAATTTATTCCCGTTTATTACCTTTTTTCTTGAAATAAAATTCTTTACAACCCTTTTTCTCTCACCGAAGAATTAAAATCTACATATAAAAGAAATTTGCGATCTGATTTTTTGAATTCCAATTATCTCCTTAAAACTGACTTGTATCTTTGCACTCTGATGTGGGAAATAAAAATAAAGAAAGACTGAAGTTATTTTTGCATTAATAAAAGTATTTGCTCGCATACGAAATAAAAGAATTGAAATCAGATATTTTGCTGTGAACTTTGGAAGTGCACAATATTTAATAGATGTTATGGCACATGGATTTGCTGCTATTTTATGCTAGCTGAGAATTGATAAGTTAATAAATTTTCTTATAAAATATTATGAGGCAGAAGTTTTTAGGTTTCCAAACTCTTGATTCCATTTCTCGTGAATTAGTTTTTACAGATGGCATACGCTCTTGAATTAGGTAAAATAGTTTGGAAAACTTGAATGAATATACGCATTTTTTATATTTGTCGTTGGCAACAGTTAGCTTTAACTACTAATAACCATTCTCTTCCACGGCACACCAGCGGCCGAGCGGTAAAGTCGCTGAACACTGGTAGTTCGGTCCGAGGTTCGAATCCCGCGAACGTGGTGTTTTCCCCGTGTGTAACGTGTGTACGAGTCAGTTTCCCTTAGAAAGTCCTCCACGAAGGCATCCTTCCTCTTAGGCATATAGCCTTAGTGTGCTCTGTCATAATTAAATGCACCAAACACCATTCTCTTCCACACAGATAAGAATTTTTCAGATTCGCACAGACGAAGTTATTTTTAATAAAATATCCCACTACAAATGGTTAGACACTTATAATGTAATGAATTAAGATAAATTTTTAAAACACTTGTTTCTATTTTGCTCATAAAAAATTCTTTACTATATTCTTCAAATACATTCTAATACTAATTAGAAAATAGGAAGTCATAATTTGCTTAACGATAAAGGAGATGAAGGAGTCCTTTGTTATTGTTGCAGAATTAGTAATGAAAATTTATTAATTATTCAATTAGTAACTTAATAAGTGACAAAATTTTATTAATAAATATTACGTTCGAAACAATTTTTAAAACAGCACAAGTAAGACACGTTTTTTTTTTCCTACCATTTTTATTTCCTTGTACAAAGTAAAGGAAGTAATGGCGAGAAGTTTCGGATATCATGTTTCAACGATAACAACCATTTTGATCTCTATCGAATTCATTCAAATGACTTTTTTGCATGACAAATGTACGTACGGACAGAATAAAGAAAAAAATGGACTATAAAATAAATTTAAAATGAACTCAAAAGAGGTTTTCTTTTTTCTTTTTTTTCTTTTTTTTTTTTTTTAAATATTCCTACTCTGTTACCTGGTTCGGTCAGCTTTGTATTTTTATGTGTTGGGGGTATATAAGTTTTTTATATTATAAGTTTTGCATTTTTATATGTTGGGGGTAAATTGTGCATTTTTTTCTTTAAAAGTGATTGAATTATACTGTTCTTATGCCCTTGTTAAGGTTTTATTTGCCTTTAGTTAATCTGCTTAAATAAATGTAGAATTATCAACAATTTGAAAGTTTAAGCAGCGTTATGCCTAGAGAGGCCGCCATTTGTTTACATTTGAAACTCTTAGTGGAATAATGAATTAAGTCTAGTTGATGCGCTAAATTCAGCACCTTTTTGCCCAGTGGACCAAAAGTTAACTTCAGTTTTGTGCGCCGAAAATTTGGTCTTCATTGGCGAACTTCCTGCTTGTTCCTGATCAAATTACTTATTTTGGCTTAGAAACTTTAATTTTAACTGCAAAAAAATTTGTTAATTGTTTTAAACTGTATTTGGTGTTTTAGGATTTTCTGTATTTTATAGTTCTTAATGAAGTTGTTTTGAGTTTTTATGTATTTTTGCGATCCCGCGAAATGAGAACTGAACTGATTGAATGAGAAATGTATCTCTAATGAAATTTGAGTAAATATGTTTAAATGAAGTGCAGCAAAAAATGTGTATAATCTAATATGCCGTACAAGGAAGTCATGTGGTGCCCACATCAGATATTTTTAAGAACTTAATCGGCCTAAGATTTTTACGTCTGTTGCTTTTGATCAAAAAGTAACGTGACTTCAAACATAAGCAAAAGTTTTTTCAAAGAAGAATAGGTACTTGGGATGTCTTGATTAAACGCAATATCAGATACGATTTCTCTTGGAATATTAACATTCCGTGAAACTCGGACTGAGAAGCGCGTTAGGTATTAACGGTATTTTTACGTATAATCAGCTAATTTCCGTAAACTATTACAAATGGCTGCCAATCATTTTATGTTAAGATTTTGCTTAATAATAATCTGTATTGTTTATGGTAGAACATTTTGGTGGAAATTTTACTTTCTTCTTAATTAAAATCCGAAATCTGAATATTAATATATTAACACGTCATTTTGTTCTAACGGTTTATTTAGGCAAATTTACGCTATTAATTAAGGAAAACAGAAAAGCATAAAAAGAGGAGAGTGTGAAATACTATGTATAAATATTGCAAATAAACAATGAAAATTTAAATTAAATTGACTGAAGTTGAAATATTTTGGCGAATGGGGAAAGTTTTAAGAAAATCTAAGTCATCGGTTGAAAAAAAAAATATCGAGAAATTCCAGAAGAGAAGTTAAAAAAATCTTGAGAAACAATAATGGGTGATGCGCAATAGTTATTAAGCTTTCACTCCGATAAAAATATTGGTTCATGTATGGTGACATGATTCTGAGATCATAAAATATTTGTTATATTTTAAAGTGTATTCCTAGCTACAGAACAATTTTTCTTCACGGTTGATTTTTACTATGTGTAATTAAATAGAAAGCAACTTTTCTGAGAAAAGATTTCCCTGTGGACATATTTTCCCGCAGGTATACTCATGTAGCTTACTACGAAATTTCAAGTTCTCGAATGTTTAAAATGACAGAATGCAAACTCGATAATTTCTGTCACATATTACTACAGCATTTAATAGTAAATTCTAGCATATTAAGAAGTAAATGTTAATGTTTCGTAACATAGGAATGGTACTGCGATAATTATAAGCAGATTTTTTCGAATTTATTTGCACTTGTTCATTATTTAGGAACATTCTTTTACTTTTTCAGGACTATGCTATCCAGCTGTGGATTAAGAGAGGTGCACCTAGGAACAAGATCGTATTGGGCATGGGTTTGTATGGAAGATCTTTCACTTTAGCTAAACCTTCTGAGAATGGTATCGGTGCTCAAGTTACCGGGAAAGGAAAAGGCGGAGTGATGACGAAAGAACCTGGGATGCTGGGATACAATGAGGTAACTATTTAGTACAAAAGCCTGTAGATATGTAGTTTCCTTACATTTGAGTGAGAAAATGCATCAGTATGATCAGATCATGTCTATGCTAATAAATCAATAGATTAATTATTAGATTATAAATATCTATTATAATAAGAAGCTGTTTAATTTTTCTGTTGGCAAGAGCTATTATGCGATGCTTTTGCTATAAGGAAAATTTGCTCCCTCAGAGTTCCAAGTGTTGAGCTCAGTTTGGAATAAAGATACAGTGAAACATCGTTTCTACGTCTTTCAAGGGACCATTAAAAAAACGGGGTATGAATGAGAGATGCGTATAATCTAAATTTTAGTTTAACATGTGAAACGTGTATTTTAGCAATAGAATATTAAATTGCATTATTAATAATGTCATTATTACTAGTTATTATTATAGAAATTTGTTGCCCTAATTTCTTCTGAAATATTATCTAATTGTTATCTCAATAGTCTATCTTGAATAAATAATATTTTTTTCGGGATGATTTTAAATTCTTTAAGAAAAAGTTTTCCACTGCCACTTGTCATTCCGTTTTGGTTTGGGGATTAAGCAAATCGCTGTGAATTAAATTAAATATTGAAAATTTCTTTCACTATCTTCATGAAAACAAAGAAATAGCTGACTGTATAGCGGAATACACTGTACCTGGAGGAGAATCCAGGATTAATTCTTCCCTTTCTTCTTCACCTGGGTTCGATGTTTTTTTCACCTATGCTCAGTTTGTCAGTTGTGCATAGTTTTGATACCATTAGATTGGTATTACAGTTTACTTAGTCATCGAAAATACTTCCCATTTTGGAACACTGACGTCTTTTTCATCTGCAGTTCATCGTCACTTAACGATGTCACAGTTTTTGCTTGATTCTGAATTTGAAAAATCCCATTTAATGAAACAAGTTTTAGTTGTTTAAAATTTTACCTAAGTCTTAATCAAAAAGATCATATTCACTGTCGTACATTTATTTTTGTGGGGATACTTTTTACACTAAGGCAATTTGAATTAACTTCTTCTTATAGAGCACTTTTAAGTTTTTGATTATGCATAAGTCTAAAATTCACAATGCATCTGTACAATTTGTTGCACAGAAAGAAACATCTAGATTTTTCAAAATATCACTCAGTAGGTGATGGGTTATGCAAGATTCACGAACAAAGCTTTACTTTTTGTCTTCTCGAAATATTTTCTATGATTTGAGCCATTCTGTAGAAATATCTAGGGTCATTTAACTTTTTTTTATTTACTTCATACCAAAATCTAAAAATTTCAACATATGAAAAAAATTGATCTTTGTGATTTTCCTATGACAGCGAAATCATCTTTTCTTTTCCAACAATATTTGTGCAGAGTAAAATAGTGAGGCGATCCTTTAGGCATCTTGACTCCATCATACTAATTACCTCTGAAGATTTTTTCATTAAATAAAATAAGTTTCAATAACAATAAGAGTACCTTTAAACCAGTTTAACCAAGTAAAACTAGTTTCAATAACAATAAGAGTACCTTTCAGTTGATAAATAACTATGCATTTCGTTCCAAAGTTTTTTAAAACCGTCTTCAGCAGATCCAGCTATAAAATCTTCGAATTACTCGCCTAAGACGTGATATTAAATTTCGCAAGGCGATTTAAAGTTTTGAAGCAATTCAGTTGAAAACTAAACATTTTTCACAACTAGAGAAAATGGTATAACATAAATCTATTCGTTAGAATAGTCGAAATATTGCACTAAGCGAAAATATTCTGCAAAATGTTCTCATTCTTTAGAAATTAAAAGACGAGATGAAGAACTTCGTTTATTGCTTTTATTTCGTTTATTCTATTTATTTGTGTGAATTTGTGTGTTAACTGTCCCAAGTAAATGAATGGTAACGTACCTTCTTTACGTTCAAGTAAACGTACCTTCTTTAAAGCTATTTTCAAGCTTTGCTATCATTGTATTTTATTAAGAATGCTAAAACGTTAGATACGCAATGCTGATGATAGATGGATTGCCTGCTTTATTTTGATTACTTATTCCTTTTTTACGTTTTTTACCGGACAACTGACTGAATGAATGAAATTCAGGACATAATCTGGTAACATTGATAAAAAACATATTAAACCTGCCTAAACCCCATTTCTAAAAGAATGAAACTATCATCAGAAAGCAATAACCAATCAAAATTGTGCTTTATGGATGACATAATTTAAAATATACAAACCCCTTTGCCATTAGCTAATAAAGAGAGAGAGAGAGAGAGAGAGAGAAAAGGGAAATTCTGTTGTGCCTCGAGAAACACTTGCGCGTCAGAATATGAAGATTGCGATGTGCGTGTCCAAAAATCAAAAGAAAATAAGCAGCATTTTATCTCATATTTTCAATCAGTCAGTCCAGTATACAAAGCATTGAATGACAAAACTGTGGCATTGAATGAAAAACTGTAGCCGAAACCACATTTCTAAAAGAATGAAACGATTCAAAATGATGCGATTTCATCAAAAAAGATAAAATAATAATAATAAAAAAATGATTCGAATTTTGAAAAAAAAAAAAAAAAAAAAAAAAAATCGTTTCGAGGTGCACTGGCTCTTGTCTGGATGTAACTATATTCCAAATTTCGTAGCCCTGGGTGTATTATAGCTTACGCGCAGCACGAACGAAAGACACACACACAGACAGACTCTTTCTTTTATTATATGTAGAGATAAGAGGTATCGTAACACTGAAAATCAGCTTTTCAACAAAAATGTGAACCTCAGATCCTTAACTTGTATATAACATATTTCTTTAAATATAATAATCAATCCGTATCATCTGTTTTTTAAGGAGAAGGAGCCGATGTCTTTTTAAAGTTAAATTATCATTGAAAAATCCAGCATCTTATATTAGAAAAGATGAAGAGAAAAAAAAAATATGTGTGCCATGCACACACTCAGCCGATCAATGTTTACATTTGCATAATGTTAAGTGCTGATATACCTTTTTTTTTATTTTCTCTGTACTATTTATATTTGAGATGCAAAATTTGAAGAAGACATCCGAGTTTGCTGTGCATATCTTAACTTGAAAAACCGGTTACTGCTTGGAGTTGTGAAAAAGGTTCAAAATTTTGTTTTATTCTCCTCTGGCACTTTTATTCAGAAAGTTTATGCGAACTGTTAATACACAAAAATATTAAATCAGTATTTGAAAACACAAAGTATCAAAATGTTTACTTTAATTATTCTTTGTTTTGAAGTTGAAGATAGCAATGATTTGGAATGCAATTTAAAACTGAATCCTCATTTCTAAGACTTTTATTTTGGAAAACAGGAAAGACGTTATTTTTATGTATTTAATTACTTAATTAAAAATTTCATTTGATGAAACAAGTTTTAGTTGTTTAGAATTTTACCTAAGTCTTAATCAGAAAGATCCTATTCACAGTCGTACATTGAATTCGACTGTGAATACTGTGATGTACGTAAATCGTACATCACAGTATTCACAGTCGTACATGTATTTAAATGTAAAGACGTTATTTTTATGTAATTTATTAATTTTTTATGCATAAATACTATTGTATTATTTTAAATAATTGTATTTGTGAATTTTGAGATTCCAATAATACATTCAAATTAATTAAATTAATTCAAATCCTTATTATTATGATTTAATTTTATGATTTGCATTCTCCGAACTGCTTTGATTACGGTTTAAAGATATTATGAATGAGCTTTAAGACGGTTAGAGGGGAAAACGTCGCAGAGAAAACAATGCAAGGCGAAAACCTCATCGTACAAAGCATAGTATCGTGGGAGGAAACAAAGCGAGGAGAAAACATCGCAGCTGTATAACATCGTACTAACCATACATTGTTGTCGAAAATGTAGCTATTCTAAAATTTTGCAGTTTAAATATATTGTCGTCAAAAATATCCTGCTAAAGTATAAAGCACGAACAAATTATCACAGATACGCATTTTTCAGGCTTTAAAAGTTGTTAATATGTATTCGCATAGTGATTTGTGCGGGCAAGAGGGAATGAGAAATATTTTTGTTTTTATATTGTATAATTAGCCAATAAATTTTCGCTGAAAATTTAAGAAAGTAACTTAAGCATCATAAACTAAAATTGAGTAGAAAATTAATGCTACTTATAGCAGTTGAGAGAATTTTATAATTAATTAAATAATTTTGGTAGATGTAATAAATGCAGTTACTCATCTTCCTTCTTTCTAATTACTTTTAAGCTATATTTTGCATTAAAAATTATTCAATAAAACTTTATAAAAGAAATTAATCTGTAGAGTCATTAGGCTTTTTTAAGCTAGAGACGCAAAAAATATGAATTGCCCTCGACGGGACTCGAAGCCTGAATCTCTCGAATACGCGTCGAGTATGCTTCCAATTACACCACGAAGGCATGCAGAAAAGAGGGAGAAAATATGCCATAAATTACTTAATAAAATTCATTAGTTTGTAAAGTATTTTTCCCGTCTCCTTGGCATGCCTTCGTGGTGGTCTGCACGCAGGCGCGTATTCCCGCCGAAGGCGTTGCATATTTTTCATCTTGCCTCCTTCCAAACAGAACCTAATGTTTCTACAGTGGCGCCCGAACTAAAAGGGTGTTGGATGATGATTCTCCACCCCCAGGATTGGATCCCCTAAAACCCCAGTCCCCTTTTTAAAAGGGGGAGTATATAAGGTATTTCTCCCGCCTTCTTGGCATACCTTCGTGGTGGTGGTCTGCACGCTGGGCGCGTATACCAGAGATCCGCGGTTCGATTCCCGGCGAAGGCGTTTGTTCATTTTTCATCGCTCTTGCTTTCAAAAATTGCCTAATGTCTCTACAAGTTAACTATATAAGTCTGAAATTCTATTAACTCCTGCATCTAGCATTATTTTTAGACTCATTTTCAGTTTTTAAATTTTATTCTTATTTTTTTAGCAAAAATTAATTAGTTAATTCAGTTCAAAAATATAAAATATCATAATAAAAATATTTCTCATTCCTTCTTGAACTCACAAATTATCATGCGGATATCCATTTTCAACCTTTAAAGCCTGACATACGCATGCCTGCGATGTTATCGTCATGCAATGATTTGTAGGCTCTTCATTTTGTACTAGAATATTTTTGAAGACGATGTTCAAAAACTTCGAATTTCTTAAACCGCCTGTATTTTCGATGACGAGGTTATGTACGATGGTATTTTAGAACTGCGATATTTTCTTCCACAAAATTTTGTGGGATAACGTTTCCGCCTTGCGTTTTTTTCTCTGCGACATTTTTGTCCGCAGTGTTAGTGCCACGAATTTTCTGCGGGCATCCTAAAGGCATGAGTTGCGTACTTAAGTTACTGTTTATTGTTACCTTAGTTACTATTTCCAGCGTTAGCGGTGTATTAAATAAAATACATAACTAAAACTTTAATACCTTGATGGATTACACAAATGAAAGGAAGATTTAACTCTATTTTAGTAGCCCTCACAAAAAATTAATCAAAATTTCCTCTATTTTTATAAAAGACACGATATATTTTTCTCCAAAATACTTTCTTTTCCTTCTTAGATCTGCTTGCATGTTAAGCAAAATGGTTGGAATGTGGTGGTCCCTAAAGGAATAGAAGCTCCTTATGCTTATTTCGGTAACCAGTGGGTAGGATATGACGACAAAAAGAGTATTGCACTCAAGGTAAGAAATTATATATATATATATATGTTTTGATCGAAATAAATTTCATTCTTGAATTGCAACATATAACATTTATTATTTCAAGATAGAAGCTCTTCGATGATCTGTTTTCGATCATGTTTTTGTTGTTTCTAATGGCTAGACACTTGTACCTCAAAGCACTGGTCGGGAATGACCAATGTCAATCAGCCGTTTAGTCTCTTCATCACCAAGAAAGTTGTCCAGAGTGCACCACAGGGAGCGATCACATATCACCCGTAAGATATGGGAAGGTTCCATACTAGTTTTGATAGAGAATACCTTGGATGAAAAACCTAGGGTCTCCCATCCTTCTTCATCTCCCTCTACCTAGGGTTTTGACTTGCCAGTATCTTAGGTACCCCCATGCCGCACAAACAGTATGCACTTACAAATAACCATATCCAGTATTGGATTGAAAGTCAAACGATACAGCATTCAATATCGCACGCGGACCGACATTGCGCTTTCCATGTCTCGAAAGCGCGACTTAGGATTATATATGATATTATTATACTTATATATGATATTATTATAATATAAATTTCACAAACATTCTCTGTTCCTAAAAAGCAAATTTTAAGTTAATTATATTTTAAATGAAATTGAGTTACTAATAAATGATTAATTATTGCTGTGAACTATTCTACAATATCATTTAAGTTCCGAGAGCATATGTAAATCAAGTGTAAGTATCGAAAGCTATGAATATAGGTATTTTGACACAAAATCAGAATTTTTCTGGTATAACATGCCAATGTTTTTCCATTGTTTTCCAAGGTCAATTTTGATGAGAAATTTATGGGGAAATTTAAAAATTTATATGGGCGCATTTCGCCATGGATAATTCACTTGGCTACCTTCTTAATTTATAGCAAACCTATTTTCTCTTCCTTTTTACTTCCTTGTACGAAGTAAAAGAAGTATTGCAATCATGAAAAATTCCGGCTATAATATTTCAACGAAAATATTCATTTTAACTACTATTGAATGCAATTTAACGATGTTTTTGCCTGACATCTGTACGTAAGGACAGAAAAATGGACTTTTCTCCCAATAACGAATTATAAAACTGATTTAGAATGGATTCAGAAGAGATTTTTTCGTGGCATCTCTATCTATATATATATCTCGCATTACTCAAAAATGAGTAGCCTCAGAATGTCTAAATTTTGTGTAGAGGACTCCTATTACATGTAGTTGTGCACCTCTCATTTTGATTGCAATCGGACGCACAAAAAGTATATATGTATATATACAGGGTATACAGGGCAGTCATAAAAAAACTTCACCAATACTCTAGGGCAGTGATGGCGAACCCATGACACGAGTGAAACAGTCGGCACGCATAGCCTTATCAGCTGGCACGCGGCTAAAATATTATTTGCTTAATAAATAATCACAATAAAATGATACTATGTAATTTAAATAAGTGTTTTAGTCTGTTCTTGAACGTTTCACTTATTTACTTATCGCATAATGCCACTGGCATAGGGTCTAAGCCTAGATATAAGATTTTCATATATCGCCATAGAAATGATGTACATATTTATTGACCCAATTTATGACGTTTCAATTGTTTGGGCCAATCGTATTAATTGTTACATGGCAAAGAATACATCTAAGCTGAAGTAGCTAATGTTTGCTAAACGAGTTCAAATTTGTTGCAAATCGCCGGTGAGTTTTAATACTTTCATTGTCAAAAAGATTTTCTATACTTTGAATCCTCACAAATGACTCCAGCAAAAAAGGCAAAATTAAACATTAATAGTGGACGATCATTTCAAGAGACCTGGACAGAATCATTTAGAGTTATTGAACACAATGGGGAAGCATTATGCATTCTATGTGGGGAAAGTTTTGTGTGTCGTACATCTAAGTGTCAAACGGCACTTTAACACCAACCACAAAATGGTTGCCGAATTTGAAGAAGCTGAGCGGAAGATGTTTATTGAAGGGAAACTGAGGAATTATAATTACCAGAAAGATGTTTTTTGCAATTATCTTTCTAAATCAAACCATCTGACAACGACCAGCTTTCAAATTTTACTGTGCTTGGCAAAACATGGTAAACCGCACTCCGATGGGGATTTAATCAAAGAGGTTTTCGGCACGCGGCCCTCCTCCTCTCCCGAAAAAAAAAGAAAAAAAAAAAAAAAAAAAAAACGTTTTGGCACGCTTGTTCCAAAAAGGTATGCCACCACTGCTCTAGTACTTCTCGGGTCGACATGGTGATGATTTAAAACAATAGACCTCTCACGGTTATAGTCAAGGGGAAAAATTTTCGAATGGAAACGCTCATGTTTTTCTTCCTCGTACTGATCAACGCATTGAAAAATCATAAACAGAGCTCGAACGATACACATATGAAGAGAATTACCAGCGTAAAACATTTGCAAAGAAGAGCACCGAAAGGACTAATATAACACAAGAGAGAACGAGGGGGATACTTATTTTGGAATTACAAGTTTTCAACGCGCCCACTTTCGCAGACAACAGCGCAATTTGCACACGAGAGATTGTTGACAACAGCGACGAATGTACTATAGCAGGAGGAATATGTATAACTCCACGTTTTTATGACATCTTTCAATTTTGACATATCTTGTGTATTTGATGTGTATACCTTAGATTTTAGATAATCCCCAGAACCAGAAATCTATTGGAGCGATGTCTGTGGATCGCGGTTGCCAAGAAACTGCAACGTTACGATAGAAGACTCTATCTCCAAGCACTTGCCAGACGCATGTGGCGACGTGTGAAAGAGCACCATCTTGTATCCTTACAACGTTACTAACGACATTTCGTTGCTGCAATTTGGCAGTTAGGTAATTCTGCAACATCGTTATATAGTGAGCACTTGTGATGGAGCATATTTCCATACCTTTGGAAGTGACCTCTTCAAAGATATACGAACCGAGAACTAATATGCTTGCGTTGCTGTTCCACATTATCACTTTAGTTTCGTGTAAAGGTGCTGGTGTCATGAGGAGTTTCCTAAGCCCAGTGAACGCAGTTCTTGGAGTTTACAATCCCATTTAAAGAGAAATGCGCCTCATCCTTCCAATAATATCATCAGTGGCAACCTGCTATTTTCATCATACCTCATGAAGACAAATTCGCAAATTCGACACCCTTTTACTCGTTTTCCGGTTTCAACATCTGGACGAGTTGGAATCGAACAGGAAGCATCCGCACAACAGAGCACAGAAGCTTGAAGACTGTGTGGTTTGGAATTCATCTAAGGTGCGGGAAACACTTCTAGTAGTAAGGCAATGGCTTTTCGCTTATTGTATACACTTCTGCAACAATTTAACAGGAACACATGATTGGCCGGTTCGCGGTTTATCACATGTGCATTCAGTTCCTTCAATTTTTTTACCAAATCACATAACGTTTTTACGGAACATGGGCCTCATCTTATCTTATGATTTTGCGGATAATACTGTACTGCTTCGGCAGCATTTTTTGCGTTTATATAAAACAGCTTTATCAATGTATCTCGTTATTTCTCTATAAGTGTCATCTTGTTAGCATGTTTGAACAAATGAAGCTTCAAATAACAATATCTGAAATTTCATTTAGGTTGGTTGAACAGATAGGCCGTTAGGGGTATATATATCGGGTAAGTTCTTTTTATAACCACCCTGTACATAGAAAATGTAATATACTCGTATATATATATATATATATATATATATATGCAGGCTATATAATTTTAGAATCTTTTGTATCAACTGCAACCACATAGGCTATTTATTTCTACAATACGTTTGAATAGAATTTCTAGAATATATTATAATGCTTTTTACTATTAAGCTAATACTGCTGTCGTAATACTTAAACAACTTACTCTTCATTCTTGCCCTATTTTTGGACGTGATGCCAGAAAAAAAAAAAAAAAAAAAAAAAAAAAAAAAAAAAAAGTTAAGAAATTGTTACCAAGTAATAAACAGGGAATTTTGTAAATCACTGAACTGAGTCTGCCCATAAATTAAATTTTGAAAAAAAAAAAAAAAAATTGTTTATCGTTTGCTTTACCCCCGTAACTGAAAATGTTGAAATTCTGTTTCAAAGACTAGTGAGGGAAATTTTATCTTTTTCAGTATTCTATATCCGTAGCTTCTATATCCCCCAGAAAATTAAAGACCATATTACATGCTCAACTTTAATGAACGTATTAAAAACAAGACTTATTAACAAAACTAACGAGAAAGAAATTAGGGTTCTGCTACCTGAGAGCCCAAGAGCAAATTTCGCTTTTTTGTACCAGAATGCATAGGGACCATGACTGCCTTGTAGCACATCTGCACGCCACTGGTATGTTACATATATTCCCGTTTCCGCTCTGCAATAGTGCAACTTTCTGGATGCACACCCTATCCAGCTCTATCGAACAAAACAGTTTTAACTACTACTAGGAAAAATGAGGCTGCTCATTTTTTAATTACTTAGCTACATTTCTGTAATTTTTGTGTATATTTTTTATGCATTTTTGAATTTCTGTATCTGATTAAAACTTCTTAAAATTTAAAGAATTTTATAAGGTTTTATAATAAAAATTAAAGAAGAATTCTTATTTAGGTAGACTACTTGATAAAAGAAGGACTGGGTGGAGGCATGGTGTGGTCATTAGAAACAGATGACTTCCGTGGCAAATGCTTCAATGAGAAATATCCTTTGCTAACTACTATCTTCACGAAACTGAACGGCCCAGTCGTTAGGCCGACTCGAGACCCCAAAATCGTTCCGACAACTGAAAAGCCCACCACTGGCCGTCCTAAAGGCTTTTCTTGCAAAAAAGAAGGTTACTTCAGAGATCCCCAAAATTGTTCGAGGTTCTTTTATTGCGCCAAGACATCTGGAAATGAATTTGCCCGGCATGCATATAGCTGCGGAGAGGATACTGCGTTTGATGAGCTGACTTCTAGTTGCACTTTCAGGGAAAGAGTTCCCGGATGTTGATGCCTACAAGAATTAGTATATTATGTAAACTATAGTTGTATGTCTTAAATAAAGTTTATAATTCTGAGAACCTCCTCTTCTGTTAAAGTGACTGCACATTATGGCAGTGATATACGTATATATGTATATAATGTACTTAATAAGAGTCGCAGTTTTTTTTAATCAAAAAAGGATATTAATGAGGAAACTTATTATAAAAGCGGGAAAAAAATTGCTAGCTGTCAGGCTTGCTGTTGGTGTGATCAGATGATGCTATGAATAGATATGGTACACAGTAATTTTTTTTCGGAAGGACATTTTCAATGATTATGAACACTGATTATTTTAATTTACATAAATAAATCATTTTAATAATTAATATCGGAAAAAATACAACAGTTAATCAAAAACCGTGTAAGATATTCAAAATCATTGCACCATTAAATGTATCTTGAACAACTGTCATAGGCCCATGGTTCTAGTTTAAGAAAAGTACCAAATAAGGTAGAGTTTAGAACTATCAGCCGTTCAAGAGAAAATTACTTTTTCAAATTTTTGAAACGCCTTGCGTATATTTAAAAGCCCAAAAGCAGTCAAAGACTGGCGTCGATTTAGAATTCTATCAGTTTCGAGAGCGATCAGAGATCAGTCTCCTTTTTTTCAGAAGCAAAATACTTTTTGTAAAGATGGAAAGAAAAACAACAACCATTTTGTATTTCATTCTACATAAAACCGTTGCTGCTCGTCTTATCAAGCTATATTCAAAATGTATGCCATGCTAAAACTGCTCCTTTGCGTAATTTAAAATTTTACATTGGCACGTTTCGCTTTCCTCTTTCAATATATGTAATTTTTCAAATCTTCTTGCATGTATACGCAGGATGTTTCGAAAAGATGGCTATAGACTTTATTTCCTTAATACTGATCGAAAACATGTAGCACGAATTAAAATTCTCAAATTCTTATATTGCGAATGAAATCTGAATGTGCTTCTTTCAGATTTAGGACTGCACTGAACTGGATCACTTGATTTTGGCTAAACACGCTTGGGCTATATTCTTAAGCGCTTAGATGTCTTCATAGAGGGCTTACTAAGAGAGTCTGGCTTATATTCACGAAACACACGAGTGAAAGCCACAAAACGGCTAAACAGTCAGCTCATTCACCTGGGGCTGAATCCAAGTGGAAATGTCAATGTCCAGATTTAGGAAGTACAAAATAAGTATTACACGTTTTTAGCGATCAATGGTTATTTATTGGTTAAACAGTTGCAGAGACATTAGGTATTTTTTGGAAGCAGGCAAGATGAAAAATGAGCAATCGCCTTCGCCGGGAATCGAACCACGGACCTCTGGAATACCGGCCCAGCGTGCAGAGCCACTATACCACGAAGGCACGCTAGAAAGGCGGGAGAAATACCTTATAAAGTATTCCTTATTAATTTCGTACTTTAACGCCGTGAATCAATAAATTTCTAACATCTTCGCATATTTGTTCCGCGTATGTATATAAAATTCCGTGGGTTATTCCAAAGCATAAAAAAATTTTATTAATTGGTCCTTTTGCTTTAGAAAAAACTTGTAAAATGGGTTGATCTTTACAATATGGCAACTGGTAGTTTGGTGACATTTTGGAGGCGATAAAGGTTACTACCTGGCACTTTGGTAATAATGTGAGCAGTACTCAGTTCCGATTACGCATTATTTTGTGTGAGGGAAATGAGAGATCATGGGATATGTCATGTGATATTAATGGACGAATTACGGTTCTTTAATCGGAAAAGGGGGGGAAATCGGAAAAAAAATCTGGAAATTTTGTATTTGGCTTTATTCTGTGTAGTGTGAAACAGTGTTCGTGAATTTTTGGATCCCATGGCCTGTAACTAAAGTGAATTCGAAAATGGGTTTTATGTATGTATTATTTAATGTATGTGCTCATTTATATTTTAAGTAGTGTTTTTGAATTTATTATATTTTAATTAAATGATAGTTATTTTGTGAATTTTATGTTTGTAGGAATTTGGTATACGTTTTAGTTGAAGTAAACGTGCATGGAAATAATTTAAATATCTGACACTAAGTATTTGTAATGGTTGCGGTATGAATTCGTTGGTGACGTGTATAATGTAATAGATGATTTAGAGGTAAAAGTTTTTGGATATTTTATTTATTTTATATGTGGAAATTTTCAATAAATACTTTTTCGCGATCAGGTAATTTCATATATGTTCTTTTTTACCGGGTTTAAAGATTGAGAAAATTGTCATGTATTTTCGTGAAATTTTTCTAATTTATGAGAAAAAAAGCAGTGTACATGGATATAGTGAAGAGTGTGCGCAATGCCATTTTTGTGCAATTCTGGGATGTTTTTTTAAGTAAAAATAAGTCGGCGTGTACATGGTTTATGTGTATGTGTTATTTTGAAAAACGCGTAAGGAGTATGGTATTGTGCACTTTTTCCCAATTTTGCAGTGAATATTTGTCATGATTAAGCAGTTTTGTTAGATAAAATTTCTAGTATAAGTGTAATTCGGCTAGTAGATTGTTGGAAGAAGTGTTCAGTAGATAAAAAGAAAAGAAACATGTCTTTACTTCGTGAAGAAAAAATGGCGGCGGGGAAAAAAAAAAATAGAGGGTTGCTGTAGGAGAGTTGGTCGCCAAATTTTCGCCAAAAAAACGCCAAGTTACCATAATGTAAAGATTAACCGTAAAATGTTTGATAAATTTTTTGTTCACAAAACCGTTTCATTCGGAGTATTAAAACTGCTTCTATAAAATTCTATACCTTATTTTGAGAAATTTCGCTAGAGGAATAACATGTCTGAGGCCAATGTTTAAGAAAACGTAGCTTGCAATCATATTTTTAAACAAATAACGAAAATTATATAAAAATAATTTGTATTAGAGCTGTACTTGCATATGAATGCTTTTTCAACCTTTATGAAACGCTTTATACTTATATAACAGTCACATTTCAGAGTCTAGAATTTATAATTTGTATGATAGAAAATATATTGAAATATTAGAATGCTTCCATTATCTAAATATGTTATGTAATCACTATCTAGTGGCATGTGCGTGGCTAAATACTCTCTAAATTGTATGTGCGAAAATTCTGAATTCATTCTAAATTCTGAAGCAAATTACTCTTTAAAACTTAAGAAGAAAAATATAAAATTTTGTTTAACGATTAGGCATTCGAATCCTTGAACTCGGCAACACTTGAAAAAAGATTCAAAGAACGAAAACTCGAATTTTGAGTCTTTTTCGTCATTTGAAGCTTTTAAAAATCATAACATAAACTTTTTAACTCAAAACTTTGGAAAGGAGAAATTTATTAAAAATCAATAGAAGTATTCATGAAAAAAAGAACACAAAATTTAAGGAAACTTAATAAAGATCCAATCATGTCAACATCAATGCATATTTTTTGCTTTAAAAATGAACACACACACACACAAAAAAAAAAAAAAAAAAAAAATGAACACACAAAAAAAAAAAAAAAAAAAAAAAAAAAGAAGACAAAATTTAAGGAAACTTAATAAAGATCCAATCATGTCAACATCAATGTCAATTTTTTGCTTTAAAAATGATTGAATTATGTTGTTCTTATCTCCCGGTTAAGGTTTTTATGCCTGTAGTAAATCTGTACGCAGTATTTTTAGAATTATCAACAATTTTAAAGTTACTTAAGTGCCCCTAAGCTTAATAATTTTTTTGATGGCGGCCATTGCTAGTTTACGTTGCTAGTTTTATTGAAACAGCAGAGTAGTGGTTTTGTTGTCAATATAGAGAAACTTGGCTTCGCAACAACAAAGATAACGCCTTCATTTATTATTGCGAATTAAATCAAGCTTAATCCTTTCTGGAATTTTTTTAGAGGAAATAAGTGTTTAAGATTACTTCGTAATTTTTAATACAGATATTTTGAGTTTTATGTATTTTTTTGCCTTGTCGCGAAGTGAGAACTGATTAATGAGAAATACTCAATCGTCTGTGAAAAACTGTTTCTTTTGTTTTGTTGCTTATTTCTTTTATACATCTCATGTCCATAAATTAAGGATAATTCGGAGTCACGCGGAAATCGAACTCTAAAATAAATAAATATCACCTGTAAAATCACAACACACATCTTCAAGAATCATATGCAAATTTCAGGAAGTAACCAGATGACACCGATGGTACGTCACAATGACGAGAGTGTAAGAAGAGTGATATATAAGGAATACAGGCAAAGAAGTAAAATTGTTCGCAGGCACTTTATAAGCATTTCAGTGCAATAACCGAATAGTTATGACACAAAGGACGCATTTGGATGATTTTTTACGTGGTAGAATTATCGGCCGTCTGGAATGTGGGCGTACCCAACTGGAAGTATCAGACAAACTTGGAATTGCCCAGAGTATCATCTCCAGGCTTTGGCAACATTCCAAGATGATGGTAATGTGAGTAGACGTTACAGCACAGGTCGCCCCAGAGTTACAGCGCCGAATAAGGACCGGTATTTGGCAGTTACTGCCAAAACAAACAGGTGGAGCACAGCCTGAGACCTGCCTCGTCAGCTCTCTTCAGCCACTGGTACGACAATTTCAAGGCAGACCGTGTACAGACGCTTAGGGCAGATTGGTTTATATGTTCGTAGACCTGTCAGATGCGTTCCACTTACTGCAACTCACTGTCGCCTGCGGTTAGCCTGGAGTAGAGAGCATGCACTGTGGACACCGCAACAGTGGGCTTGTGTGATGTTTTCCGACGAGTCCAGGTTTAGCTTGCAGTCTGATTCTCGCCGGACTTTCATATGGAGAGCTCCAGGTATTCGTTACCACCAAGAAAGCATCATTGAACGACACCGTTACGGTGGTGTAGGAGTGCTCGTTTGGGGTGGAATTATTCTGGGTTCCAGAACTGACCTTCATGTTCAAATTGGAATCATGACAAGCCATATCTATCGGGACGTCATTCTGGAACAACATGTACATTTGTTTCGGGGTGCCATGGGCACACAATTTGTGTTTATGGATGACAACGCCAGTCCTCACCGTGCAAATATCGTAAGCGAATGCCTTCAATCGGAGGATATCACCCGTACAGACTGGCCAGCATTCTCACCAGACTTGAACCAGTAGAACACGTGTGGGACATGCTTGGCCGACGAGTTGCAGCAGCCCGTCAACCTCCTTCTACATGTCTACCGGAACTTCGGAGTGCATTGCTTTTTGAGTGATGTAATATCCCCCAAGATCAGATCGATAATTTGATACTCAGATGCCTAGGCGTTGTACGGACTGTATTGCATCGTCTGGGAGACATACAATGTATTAACAATCAAACCAACCATGTAATATTGGTTTTTTTGTAAATAAGGTTTTTTTTTTTTTTTTTTTTTTTGGTAATTTGCTCCAGGGAGAAAAAAAAATCGCTAATTTTTTTAATAATATCAAACATATAGCATCTGTTTTTGCTCTTTACCTTTTGTTTAATAAATAAGCTTTACAAATAAGTCAAATTTGTTTTGCTTCTAACTTTTCCTTTGCCTGATTTTGCATTATCCTTAATTTATGGACATGAGTGTAGTTTTTTAGTATTGATAAACACGCAAATTAGGAATTCTTTATATATAAATTTTGCAAATAAATACGTTAAGTAATTGCGCATAGTGCTATGTGAATTTAAGAAAGGAATTTTAAAAACTTATTCTATGTGTTATGCGCTGTCGCGATGTTTATCATCCAAAGTTAAACGAAATGCAAGAAAAAATGCGTATAATTTAATACTCTGTACAACGAAGTCATGTGGTGTACACATCAGATTTTTTAAATAACCATTAGATCAAACAGTAATGTAAAAATATCTTAATTCTAATCTTAAATGTATATTTATTATTTTGAAACTAATATTCCTTTCATATAACTCAGTCTTCCTTTTAGGCTATTTTTCTATGCGGCTGTTTACCCTTTATCTTTAAAAGTCAGGAAAAACAAATTTTGAAATACCAAATCTCTTATGAATTATATAATTCCAATCATTCAATTTATTTTTTAACTTGAATTCTTTAATTTTCTTTTTTGTAAGCTTTTATTTAGTTCACTCATAATATTTCATTGTGAGCGGAATTTTGTTACCGATTTTTAACTGACTTCCTCATAAGTTATCGAATTCAAATTTTGTGCATAAACTCTTTATCGATGACAATGTAAAGTGGTGAGGTAACGTTTTCAAAATTAGATTTAGATTTTTTTTATTTAACGCTTAAACAAACTCTTAGTATCAAATCTATTAATTTAACTGCATTGCCTATTAATTGCTCCAGTAACTGCTGCATCTAACTGCATACCAAGCTTCTATTGTTCGTGATATAAAACTGCAGAAGAATTATATAATCTATTGCTCTCACTAACCTGAATGATAAATTACTCTTTTCATTGATATGTCAATATCAAATCAAAACGATATTCTTCCATTAAAATTTCAATTAAATTAAAATTCCATTAAAACAATTTTATTATCTCCCATATTCTTAGTTACGATATCCATTTAATAACAAAAACACATTCTCTTCCCATATTGAAATGTATATATAATGCCGTCTGAAAACTAATTATCAACAGCGTGAAAACTTGCAATCAATTCTAATATACCGAATAATTTACGATCTTGATCATTATTTACGAAACTTCTGCGTATTCCTTTCTTAAAGCATCTTTCCTTTCACTATTTTTTGTGACCACCAGCGGCCGAGCGGTAAAGTCGCTGAACACTGGTAGTTCGGTCCGAGGTTCGAATCCCGCGAACGGGCTGGCTGCATGGGCGTTTTCGTGGTTTTCCCCATGTGTAACGTGTATACGAGCCAGTTTCCCTTAGAAAGTCCTCCACGAAGGCATCCCTCCTCTTAGGCAGACAGCCCTCGTGTGCTTTGCCGTAATTAAATACACCAACACACCTTTCACTATTTTGTAAGACTGACTACTGCTTTTTAGTGCTTTTAAGCCGTGGTTTGATTACAAAAAATGTGTTTGGCCAGATACTGAATCATTTAACGTTTGAAGAATTTCATAATAATACAAAATCAGGTTTAATTGAAGTTTATCCAGTATATAATTTTTATTCCTTTGCGACATATATATATATTGTCAAGATTCACTTTTCCTTTAAACAGAAAGAAATAAAAATAGCACTGAAGGTTTATTTTCCATTTATTCAGCTGAGCATTGTGTGCACGAATGTTCAAAAATAAAACTTATCTCTCTTCTGGAACATTTCATACTATATACGATTCTTCGTACGATTTTTAAGCAAAAGTATATGAAGTTGTTATTTGAAATAGTTTCAGCCCTTCAGTTGCTACCCTCCCTCTCCATCAGATTTTACTGTTACAGCTGCGTTCCTTCCTGTCAAATTTATTTGCTCACAGACGATATTATTCCTCAAAGAGTTACTAGTACTTCCCCAGTTTTCATGGACTACACTATTTGTTCTGTCATCTGGAATCTAATACCAGACTTGACATGTTGGCCAACAAAGGAATATATTTAAATGAAGTTACTAAATGTTTTCTTAGGCTGTAAAGACTTATTTAAGATACATTTTCAGATTTAAGATAGGAATTAAGCTTCTGATTGAAATAGTAAATTCCTTCTCTTTGCATATCGGAACTCAAATCCTAAGACTGTGCAGTAAAAAGTAATAAAGGGATCATAATAAGTAAAAGATTACAGCAGGTGTAATAAATGTATCAATTTTTGTAGCCAGTGCGTCTAGGCGCTTTAAAGGATTGTTTAAATACAAGGAAATTATGCATGAATAGTCTTTATTTATTATACCCTATGATTGTTTCTAATTTCTTGATGATTTTTAACTGTATGTGAAGAATTCATGATTCTGGCTGTACAGATAGTTAACACAGCAGTTCAATTCACTAAGCTTTATTTTATAATATTTGGAGATGTTTATTATAAAATATCTTATTCTCAGAGAAACGGCTCAAACTCCATGTGAAATATCATAGAAACATACACAGTAGCAACTCATCCAACAAGATACGAGAAAATAGATACATGAAAATGAGCTGAGAGCCAATCACATTTCTGAAAGATGTCCCCCGGAAACATCGCAGACGAAAACGTCGCGGAGAAAACAACGAAAGGAGAAAACGTAGTGGTACAAAATACCGTAGGAGAAAAGAAAGCGAAGGAAAAACATCGTGGTACAAAATATCGTCGTCGAAAATAGAGCGTTTCAATAACTTCGATGTTTAAAAATATAGTTGTCAAAAATATCGTGGTAAAAAATAAAGCTCCTACAAATCATCGCATGATGAAAACGTCTTCGCATAATGATTTGGAAGCACAAGAAGGTAAAAGAATGTATTTATTTTTATAATTAATAGTTTTGAATTAATTAATACATTTTTGCTGAAAAAGGGAAAAGGAGACGTTAGCATTTAAAAACTGAAAATGAGTAGAAAAGTCATGCAATTTTATAGCACTTAATAGAAGTTTTAAACTTACATAGATAACTAATAAAAGTTGTAAATAAATTAATCTTTTTGCGCACGATTGCAATCGATAATCGGAGAGTCTAGAGAATACGAGCGACCTGACCGACATTCTTGAACTATATGTAAATATGTATATATTTAGTGTAGTAATAAAAGAATTTATAAAATGTTACGAGTCATTCTGTAGACAAAAGGTAACATATAAACATCTTGACAATCTTTTAACATCTCAGAAGTGGGATGTTATGTGGATTAGCCCATCGAACGGCTTGCGTACGATGAGCGTCGGAGAAGTGGTAAATTTCGATTTCAAAAATTTGAATGCATGCGAACTGTAGAATAACTATGTTGAAGTAACTTTGATAATTCTAACAGAGTATAGAATTTAGAAGTATAAAATTATATTGTTAATTAATATCATGGATGAGAATAGTAATAAAGCTTTAGATAAAGCGGAAACCATACGCAAAACACTGACGAGATTAACAAAATAAGTAATTAACAGAATATCTGAATTATTGGAACAAGGTATTTTGGATATAAAATCATTAGAAGAAGGATTAAAAATGCTCCTATCAGTTTAATAGCTGGGAAAATTTAGTTTGAGTTTTGTATTGCTTCTGATTGAAAATGTTTTACGCATTTCAAAGCAAAAGAAAAATCTCTCTAGAAATAAAAAAAGCTTTTGGGGTGAACTCAACGCTAAAATGCTAACATTTCGTGTGTTTTATCTTCAAGTTGGCATACATCCACTAATTTATTACTCCATGAAAATTGTTTTCTTTTGATTATATGATTTAGATTTTATGTTCATGTTGCTAATTGCTGATAAATAAAGTGCAAGATATATTTTGAAATATTCAGAGCGTTTACATAAAAAATTCAAAATATTTAATAAGTTTGGTTCTTACATCTGAAAATACTCGAAAATGAAGATGTTTGACTTCTATGTATAATCATATTTTCAAATGTAGGCATCTTCTGTAAAGCTTCTCAGTCTCCCAGAGTAGGTCCTGACAAAGGAATAATCTTCCTGGGACCAGTTGCTTGATTCCGTCGAAGATAGAGATATGCGCGGTCTAACATTCTTCTGGAATTCTCCTGGTAAGTTGGAATTTCCAGCGGGAAAGTAACGGACAACGACGAAGAGACGAGGTTCTCCTGGCACCGGTGCTATTCCAATGCCAATATGTGTTGTACTACGCCACAATATTTGTGTCAAGTGGAAGGCTCCTGTCAATGAAGATATATATTAATTAAAATCCGCTTACTAGTTCTATAATTTGTAATTTTAGCTTATTAGCAATAATGTCCTTTGAGGGAAATAATAAAATGGCTTTTAGGAACCTTCGCTTGTCATTTCTTTCAGTTTCATGAAGCACTAAATACAAAGTACACAGGATTTTGCATTTGGTACATCATAATCTAGCAGACTTTCAGCACGTTAAGAACATTAATCCGCTAAGATATAATTTTATAAACATTGTTTCATGTTAAAGAATTATTATAGAAGAACTATCAATAAAAATGTATTACTAACAAATATTTTTACCAAAGGCGCCATACTTTTTTGACAAAATATTTTGCATCAATGACTTAAAAGATCTAGATTAATCAAGAGGTAGCGAATGACAATCATAATGCAGTTTCCAATTCAGTTGTATGATGAAGTTTACTGATGAACATAATTTTGGTCGTAAATTAGATAGATAAAAATACGAGTAATTAAAATGCAGTTCAGGTACAATTAACAATTTCTGATAAACCTGAGTTTTGAAAAAATCAGCATCGGTTTCAAAAACTATTACAAGTACTTACGTTTCTTCATAAGAAGGACTAAACTGAAGAAGCAGCAATAATGAATGTGGCCTCGTTTGTTGCGTATATTAAATTACAATTACTATGCTGCGGGTAATGCTATTAAGGGTACACCATATCGAATTAAGAATGTAGAATATGTAAGTGTAGTGAACGCACTCACGAATCCCGACCTGGGGGATTCGTCTCCATTCTCGCATTCTCGATAGCTTTATTTTAATTTCGTGATTCCAATTCTAGAGAAGTTTTTAATGAAGTATGTATATAAGTATATAAGCACACATTCCTGCTCATCTAAGAAAATATTATTTCTCATACTCTAGAGGCATTTTTTTTTTCACTGCGCAAGTGAGCTACTGCCCTATATGTAAATAATTCAGTTCTTAGAAGGATACTATACCATGTAAAAATTGAATCTCAAACTAAAACATCTATGGTCAATATTTTTACGTGATGGATTTTGATCCCAACTGAGATATAAAGTGACATCAAATGTGATAAGCAATTGCTTTTAAAAAAAACGCAAGAATATTATTACTAAGTGCAATCGAATACGTTTTGTCACACTCAGCAGTGAGAAGATCTGTTGAAAGATGGAATTAATTTCCCAAGCGTTCCAATTTCCAATTTTAATTTTCATAGATTATATTATTTGCGTTGCTGCAATGTGCTGTCTTGAAGGCGGAGGTTACTTCTCTGAGATTTATTGTACAGGTAAGAAAGTCAGAGAAACATTTTATAATAGAATTCGCAGTTTTAGTAAAAATGAATAATTTTATAGCATTGAAAACCAGTACTGTTTCAAGCCAGTTTCGCCAAAACGAAGGATTTGTGTTTCGTAATTATTCCTTCAAGCTTAGGAAATATTTAGGGAACATTTAATTTCGGTGTTCAAAAATGATCCAATTCAGCATATTTGTTTTGCAACATTTTCGCGAAATTTACACAAAATGCCATGGAACTTATTTCATTTAACTTAGAAAAGGGTGATGGATATTTTATTAATCTAACGTATAAAAAGAAAAATTTCGAATTTTTAGCACACTTCTAAGCCTAGCACAGAGAGTGTTTTAATCAATTCTCTATATTACATCGAAAAGCTTATAACTGGAACTGTAGTTATGCTAATGAGTACTTTGATAGCGAACTAATCTAAAGCGCGTTACTTAAAAAATCTGATAGATTCCCCGGAAAAAGTTTCATCTTTAAATAAAGTAACGTATTAGCCTCTTAACTACGACTTTTCTCCAAGAATAATCTGATTGCTTGATTAATTGATTATAAAAATGTACGCAGCTAAAGCCTTAGAATGGGAAGTGCTTCTTTTCGACGGTACATAGGAGTAAAACCTACGCAACTAGCTGTTTACTAGAAACTGATTTCAACACCAAAATCATTTTCAACGAGTTACAATTCATCCTGTAACTAGCGTACAAAATGATAAGGAAATTCAGAGAATTGTATACATCTTCCGACTAATTATTTTTAAGACTCATTTAAAAATCTTGTTTTGTATATGTGAATATTTTATCTAAAACGAATGGAGCGAAAAGAATAGGAAAATATTGATTGTGCTTTACCTCGCCTCCATCGCGGCTCTGCGAAGCTATACTGCTTGATTTCTTTGTACCAGTTTCGAACGATCTCTTTTGCACTTGGGACGGAAGTGATCAGATCGATGCTGCACAAGTTCTCCCCGATATCTGAAAATTAACAAAAGTTTTAATGCTATTATTGCAGACGATGAGTAACTCAATAATTACATCAAGGTACAAAACAACACATTACCTACTAGCATGCCAAAGAACGAAGAAAGAATGTAAATATCAAAAATGCTCCAAAACTTATGCAAATATAAAGGAATTGAGAAAACATACGAAATACAATGTAATCTGCATTATTTATTCTGTTTTAAGATACATTTTACCCCGTGTAAATATCGCTAAAATTAAGATAAGTCTTAAAATCGCGAATTTTTTTCGAAACAATTGATGATTTAATTATGATATCTGGGGGTATGTAGCCAATTGTAATTACTAAAAGTTTTAATTCGAAAATTATTTAACTATATCATAAGAACTCTTAAGTAATTAATATACTTTTAAAAGAATAGAAATCCGGTTATTGACAGCAAACTGTCACAGATATTTACCTTCCTAACAATAAAGAAAATTTAGGCGTCAGATTGGCAGGTGCAGGTAAAAGTACAGGGGGACACTAGCGATATACCATAGGTCAAATAGCAATGCGAGCTAAAAATTGCAAGGTTTATAACAGCGCATAAAGAAAAGCTTAAGTTCCGTCGAGGAAATGGGCATCTGGAGCTTTCCAAAGAATCTACAGTTTAACCGGTTATAATAAATCGTGAAATCCCACTATACATACCGTATCCATTATTTATTAAATATAATGACTTAGGACAAAGAGAGATTAAAATACAATTTCAATACAATTTGAAATTCATAGATTTAATTGAGAACATTTGCTTTGATGTAACAAAATAACAGATAAATATAATGAGATAGATATAATAAGCACTGGGAGCGCGGTGTTAGAATAAACTGAACTAATCATGGTTCATGGAAAAAGGAGTGCCACTTTTAATTACTAAAAGTTTTAATTCGATTTTATATATCTAGTACTGACGAAAGGAGCGAATTCCTCTACTCTCAAATCTACATACATGTCACTGATAAAACCCATTTTGGAAATATAGTTCGGAGATTTGTTTCTCCTACCAGCCTGGCTAAACTTGAACGTGTTCAATTGAGTGCAGCTGGCTTACGCAACAGCTTGTAAGATCTCATTCTTTTAGCTATCATCCATGAATACGATCTTAGTAATAAGCCAGGTGAATTCTCGCACAGGCTTGAAGAAATAGCACGCAGAGAAAGGGTTTTAATTTCTCTTTTATTTTATTAAACGCTTTAACAAAAATGCAAATACTTCGTGCTCACAATAATACCGACTACATGCTGTAAGAACTTAAGACTAATTTAACAATAATTTTAAACGGCAAAAAGTACTCCTGGACTGCTTAAAACTAATAGACTGATTCAGCAACCTACACCGGCGACAGACTTTAATAAACGGACAAAAGGCGTATCGACAACTAAGATTAATAGCGAGGAGGACAGAATAGCAACGTATGCTATGCTAGTGAAATCACGCTCTGTCTATCTTTCTCTTTTCCCCCTGCTGAAATATTTTTCGTCAGCTTTCACTTAATTTGCATTCTGGCGAGGAAATGCTAGGAGAAATGAGGAGTTCAGAAAAGATAACAAAAATTAGAATAATTGGTTATTCAACTAAGGGAAACTCTACAAGTTACCCGACTGAAATAGCCCTCTTTGAATGTGATACACAACAGTTGAATTTGAGAGGCAAAGCTAAACTGTCAAAACACTTTAATAAACTATACAGTCATGGTACTCTTAGACGTACCTCTCTACTTCATAATTAAGTTTGTAGTCAAAGATTAAAAAGAAACAGCCATTTTTCTTTGGCTTATCTTATAGGTTTAACAGAAACAAATGTTACAAGATATTCACTGAAACTTACTATTATCCCAATGGAAGGACTTCCTGGCATCTATTTTCACACAGACTTAACGTCTTACCAACGAAACAAAACACGATTTACTAGATTATTTTCCTCAGATTACACTGGAAACTTTAAATGACATTCCCTCTAATGCTCTCAGATTTTTACTGAAGGCAGTAAAAATGGAATGGAATTGCGGTAGCGGAGTCTTCATTAGAACACTTATTGATAGTTTTAATATTAAGACTAGAAACCCTGATCACTATTTTGTTCTTCATATTGAGCTTATAGCAAATGAGGAGGACCTTAAGGCTGCATATACTAGCAATCCCTACAAAGATATCTGGATTTGGACTGACAGTCCCAGTTCTACCCAGCATCTATAAATTTGGCCTCGTATGGGTTATAAGACTTCACTCTCTATTTTGACTTTATTGCAAAAGATTCTCTTCTCATCAGGATGTACATCTGTAATGGATCCCTTCATATACTGGCCTCAGTGGTAATGAACGGCTGATGCCCTAGTTAAGGAAGGTACTTTAATGACTCTGGCCACCAGCACCCTGACTTTTTTGGAGATCTGCTCGAGAGTTAAATCCACTGTTGCCTTTTCCTGGCATTCTCCTTCGATTCATGACTGGTACTATTGGAGGCAGCCGGGAGTGGCTATTGCTTCTGAGGGTAATCGTGCTCAATAGACTACTTAGGCAAAGCTACTAACTGGACACCGGAAATGCCTTAAATCTGACCAAGGAAATAAGATCTACTTCATCTGTAGGAAACAGATTGCTGATCATTTCATTTTTGAACATCTTCTCATCTGTTTGGGACTTGTAGAAGAGGATATATTGAAACCTACCTTCGTTTTGAATTTATTGACTGCTCTTGGACTCATAAATCTGGTCTAACCTAATGGCTAGCCAGTTAGGATCAGTGACAACAGCACTGAACTAATAATACTCAGAAAGTAACCACGAAGTCAAATTATTTGATAATAACACAAAAAAACACTGTAAGTAAGGATCTGCGAGCTCAGCGTTTATGACTTTTGACAAAAATGCAGGTATCAATGCCGAAAAATTTCTACGACAAAAAATCCTGTTTTACTTTATAATATTCGTTACACCTGAAAATCTTAATTTCGGAAATTAATGATTTGCTTAGTATGTTTCTCGCATTGTGATTAAAAGACGGTACCTAGAGCCATTAAATTTTGAATAACGTAATCTTCCACTGAATATGGGCATCTGAACGCCCGGATTTGGAATTTGAAATTAGTTTTATTATCGATTTCACATTTTGAAACACTTTAACGAATCTGTATTTAACAAACTCAAGAATTTCAAAATGAGCAATGGCAAAGTGTACAGAGAAAAGGTTTTTATCTCCAGCGCGCGAGACTGTGTATCGGAAATTATAAAGTAAATTTTTTTTAATTAAAACATTTTTAGTTTAAAATTAAAATTTATTTTAAAATTATTTTACGATATTGCTCTTGAACTCAATTTTATGGTTTAAGTGCAAAGAACATGATATTGAATAAATAAAGGTAACATACAAAAAGTTAAAAAAATGCCCTTGGTGCGTAATGTAAAATTTGAAAGCTTTCAGATTTTTTTATTTTTTATATTTTTAAATTTTTTCATTTATTTATCATTGTTTTAATTTTGATTGTAAACTATTCTTTGGAGTATTTAACTGAAATTTTAGTGTTATTGTTATTATTCGAACAACCAACTGTCGCGTGTGTGTTTTATTTTATTTTGTTTTATTTATTTATTTATTTATTTAATTTCAGTCTCTTTCTTTGAAGGGAATAGGGATAAATAGGGATAGTCTGAAAACTGTAGAAGATCTAAAGGTCAATTCAATAAGCGCAGTTCAGGAAATTACATACAATTCATCAAATTCTATGCGCAATGTTGTGAAGAGAGGCTTCCAACGTGCACTGACGTACGCATCTTTGCATTTCTAAGTGTGAGTAATATTCGCAGCGCTTGCTTAAATATTATGATCTTAAAATGTTAATTCAGGAAACAATAGGATAGTAAGTAAACTTACTTTACATGACATACAAAAGTACGAGATATGTAGTAAGCAAATTAACAAGATAATTTCTGAAGCTAGATTTGGAGACCACACCTCGAAGAAATGTTCATCGTATAAAGAAGTTTTTCGGTTCCTGTACGACATACAACTAACTCATTTTTGAAATGAAGGTATTCTGATGTTCATGAAACTAAAAAGATTTCTGTATAAATGAGTTCTTGAAAAAGGTTAATTGAAAAAGAACTAACCTATCCTTCTGTTTCTTTACCTCTAACACCAAGGCTTCTTGCTTTCGGTTATATGAATATATAATCGAAAGTTTAACTATATTAGTTACATAACTATATCAGTATTTTCTGATACTCAAGCCTAGAACAATGATTGAGCTTTCCTAAGCTTTTTATTTTCCTAGAGCTCGGAAATTTGTGAATTAATAATTGATTGATTTCTGTAGTTTCGAGATTCCCTTTAATAATTTCCAGGAATCTTCAAATTCTATGTTTAAAAAAAATAAAAGTTTATTAAAAATAAGACTGTTTTAAGTACAGAAAAAATTAGGGAAAAAAAGAGAAATAAAAACAAAAATATTAGATACTTATATTTTTCCCTTACTTATTATTGAAAAATAATAGTATTTACTCTAAAATTAACGCTTTAACTATCGATGTTCTAAATTAATGCCAGTTTTTTCTATATAGATCACCGGTTCAAACAAACAGTATATTAATTTATTAACTAATAGAGTGTTGTGTTGCGTGTTTAGTAGATATATCTGCTGACTAGTCCTTTATGTCCATATAAAAATTGCAGAGATGTGAGAGCTCCTTCCTTCTTGTTGTGTAAATACCCTTTTTAACTACTTTCAGCAATTCCAGGTTCTATTAATAATACATAACGTATTTCCTTTACAGAATTTACACCCAATTCTTGAGCTTTTACATTATCATCTATATCAAAAACTAATGGTCATGAAAAAAAACCCTGTAACAACACGTATACGATAACATCGAGAGTTAAAGTATTAGAAAAATTAGAAGTCTATAAAACTTCATTTTGGTCTCCAAAAACATCTTCTTCATTCTGTATTATAGCAGGTGGATTAGATTTTATT